GTACTTGCTCCTGGTGTACTTGCTCCTGGTGTACCTGCTCCTGCTGTACTTGCTCCTGCTGTACTTGCTCCTGCTGTACTTGCTCCTGCTGTACTTGCTCCTGGTGTACTTGCTCCTGGTGTACTTGCTCCTGGTGTACTTGCTCCTGGTGTACTTGCTCCTGCTGTACCTGCTCCTGCTGTACTTGCTCCTGCTGTACCTGCTCCTGCTGTATCTGCTCCTGCTGTACTTGCTCCTGCTGTACTTGCTCCTGCTGTGCCTGCTCCTGCTGTACTTGCTCCTGCTGTACTTGCTCCTGCTGTACTTGCTCCTGCTGTACCTGCTCCTGCTGTACTTGCTCCTGCTGTACCTGCTCCTGCTGTACTTGCTCCTGCTGTACTTGCTCCTGCTGTACCTGCTCCTGCTGTACCTGCTCCTGCTGTACCTGCTCCTGCTGTACTTGCTCCTGCTGTACTTGCTCCTGCTGTACCTGCTCCTGCTGTACCTGCTCCTGCTGTACCTGCTCCTGCTGTACCTGCTCCTGCTGTACCTGCTCCTGCTGTACTTGCTCCTGCTGTGCCTGCTCCTGCTGTACTTGCTCCTGCTGTACTTGCTCCTGCTGTACTTGCTCCTGCTGTACCTGCTCCTGCTGTACTTGCTCCTGCTGTACTTGCTCCTGCTGTACCTGCTCCTGCTGTACCTGCTCCTGCTGTACCTGCTCCTGCTGTACTTGCTCCTGGTGTACCTGCTCCTGCTGTACCTGCTCCTGCTGTACTTGCTCCTGCTGTACTTGCTCCTGCTGTACCTGCTCCTGCTGTACCTGCTCCTGCTGTACCTGCTCCTGCTGTACTTGCTCCTGGTGTACCTGCTCCTGCTGTACCTGCTCCTGCTGTACTTGCTCCTGGTGTACTTGCTCCTGCTGTACTTGCTCCTGCTGTACCTGCTCCTGCTGTACTTGCTCCTGCTGTACTTGCTCCTGCTGTACCTGCTCCTGCTGTACCTGTTCCTGCTGTACTTGCTCCTGCTGTACTTGCTCCTGCTGTACCTGCTCCTGGTGTACCTGCTCCTGCTGTACCTGCTCCTGCTGTACTTGCTCATGCTGTACCTGCTCCTGGTTGTACTTACTCCTGGTGTACCTGCTCCTGCTGTACCTGCTCCTGCTATACTTGCTCCTGGTTGTACCTGCTCCTTCTGTACCTGCTCCTGGTGTACTTGCTCCTGGTGTACTTGCTCCTGGTGTACTTGCTCCTGCTGTACTTGCTCCTGCTGTACTTGCTCCTGCTGTACCTGCTCCTGCTGTACTTGCTCCTGCTGTACTTGCTCCTGCTGTACTTGCTCCTGCTGTACCTGCTCCTGCTGTACTTGCTCCTGCTGTACTTGCTCCTGGTGTACTTGCTCCTGCTGTACTTGCTCCTGCTGTACCTGCTCCTGCTGTACTTGCTCCTGCTGTACCTGCTCCTGCTGTATCTGCTCCTGCTGTACTTGCTCCTGCTGTACTTGCTCCTGCTGTGCCTGCTCCTGCTGTACTTGCTCCTGCTGTACTTGCTCCTGCTGTACTTGCTCCTGCTGTACCTGCTCCTGCTGTACTTGCTCCTGCTGTACCTGCTCCTGCTGTACTTGCTCCTGCTGTACTTGCTCCTGCTGTACCTGCTCCTGCTGTACCTGCTCCTGCTGTACCTGCTCCTGCTGTACTTGCTCCTGGTGTACCTGCTCCTGCTGTACCTGCTCCTGCTGTACTTGCTCCTGCTGTACTTGCTCCTGCTGTACCTGCTCCTGCTGTACCTGCTCCTGCTGTACCTGCTCCTGCTGTACTTGCTCCTGGTGTACCTGCTCCTGCTGTACCTGCTCCTGGTGTACCTGCTCCTGCTGTACTTGCTCCTGCTGTACTTGCTCCTGCTGTACTTGCTCCTGCTGTACTTGCTCCTGGTGTACCTGCTCCTGCTGTACCGGCTCCTGCTGTACTTGCTCCTGCTGTACTTGCTCCTGCTGTACTTGCTCCTGCTGTACTTGCTCCTGCTGTACTTGCTCCTGCTGTACTTGCTCCTGGTGTACCTGCTCCTGCTGTACCTGCTCCTGCTGTACTTGCTCCTGCTGTACCTGCTCCTGCTGTACCTGCTCCTGGTGTACCTGCTCCTGCTGTACTTGCTCCTGGTGTACTTGCTCCTGGTGTACTTGCTCCTGCTGTACTTGCTCCTGCTGTACTTGCTCCTGCTGTACCTGCTCCTGCTGTACTTGCTCCTGCTGTACTTGCTCCTGGTGTACTTGCTCCTGCTGTATCTGCTCCTGCTGTACCTGCTCCTGGTGTACCTGCTCCTGCTGTACCTGCTCCTGCTGTACTTGCTCCTGCTGTACTTGCTCCTGCTGTACTTGCTCCTGGTGTACCTGCTCCTGCTGTACTTGCTCCTGCTGTACTTGCTCCTGCTGTATCTGCTCCTGCTGTACTTGCTCCTGCTGTACTTGCTCCTGGTGTACTTGCTCCTGCTGTACTTGCTCCTGCTGTACCTGCTCCTGGTGTACCTGCTCCTGCTGTACCTGCTCCTGCTGTACTTGCTCCTGCTGTACTTGCTCCTGGTGTACCTGCTCCTGCTGTACCTGCTCCTGCTGTACTTGCTCCTGCTGTATCTGCTCCTGCTGTACTTGCTCCTGCTGTACTTGCTCCTGGTGTACTTGCTCCTGCTGTACCTGCTCCTGCTGTACCTGCTCCTGCTGTACTTGCTCCTGCTGTACCTGCTCCTGCTGTACTTGCTCCTGGTGTACTTGCTCCTGCTGTACCTGCTCCTGCTGTACTTGCTCCTGCTGTACTTGCTCCTGCTGTATCTGCTCCTGCTGTACTTGCTCCTGCTGTACTTGCTCCTGGTGTACCTGCTCCTGGTGTACCTGCTCCTGGTGTACCTGCTCCTGGTTGTACCTGCTCCTGGTGTACCTGCTCCTGGTGTACCTGCTCCTGGTTGTACCTGCTCCTGGGTCCACTTGCACAAAGCGATCTTAGCGCTACAATTATTGTAAATCCTTAAGATCGCGATCTTAGGCTTACGCTACAATTGTCATCCACTTGCACAAAGCGATTGTAGGTTAAGATCATTGTAAGCTACAATCGAAACTTACAATTGGTCCAGACCAATCTTAAGTAGCTAAGATCGTTGTAGTTCCTGACAAAATGGCGTGCAAGACAGGGCCAGTTTCACATTAATAATCTGCTTTACGATCAAACACTGCCTATTTATTTTGTTAGATTTTATGATTCGAATCGACACTTCAACAACACGAAGACCGCACCACAGATTTAACGTCAAAAATATCGTTAATTGCGATAGTGAACCACATAACTATCGAGTCGATAGTTAAAAGTACTATTCCCACCCGTGTCAATGCTGAAAGAAGTCTAAAACAACATACCTTATCAAGGGAAGGATAAAACCTAAGTCGTCTGCAAGCGATTTGTAACGTCCGTGACCTTTAAGATAAATCAAGGGCAGCTAATCATAGTTTATATTCTAGATGGGAGTGGTTTCCCTTTGTATAAGTATCGTAGAATCTTCCTTGCCCAGTTAGTGTAATAATGTTGTAGAACCGCTGAGCTCCCCTTGTATATCTTTTGGGTCACATTCGTGTCAGTTATTTTGTCTTTAGTTTATCATTAAATAATCTACAAGTAAACACAAGTTGAAGTGCAAAATCATACGTTTATATCCAATATCCAGTCACGAGCGGTTGTAATATCTGAATTTATAAGAAACTAATACAAATATTCATCAAACAAGCAAATACACATGATGAGACATTTGAAATTTGTGTAAAATATCCCATAAATAGCAAAAGTAAAATTCACACTTTTTAAAAAATATAATTAATACCAAATGAATATATATTAAACAACTTCTTTCTTGAAACATTATTCTTATTTCCCGGACATGCATTCTTGAAATCTCCCGTCTTACTGTGTTTTGAAAAGGTTGTCATAACATCCTTTGTAATAGCGGCAAAACTAAAACATGAAGGATATACATGTATTTAGGATTTTACGGAAAGCTCCCCCAAATAGATGACGATCATACATTTACCTGTTATGTTATTTGGACATAGAGATCTATTATTATTTTCTTTTTTTACTTTCATAATAAGAATGTCACTAAATCTATATGCCAACATTCTAATTATAGTTTCCTTCAAATAGTTGAGACCTTTCAACTGTGCAAGGTGCGTGGAGGGAGGTACGTGGTGTATGTCGTAACCGGTTCTACACGTTGTATGCGCAGCAAGATTTGCGCGTTTGCAGACAACCATAGACAGGAGTCTAGTTTAAGATATTTGTACCTCCACCATTGAAGATTTCAATCTTAGTTAAGATCGCGATCTTAAATCCAAGCCGTCTTACAATCGCGTTAAGATCGGTTTGTGCAAGTGGAATAGGACAATTGTAGGGTGATTGTAAAGTTGATTGTAGCCGCCTAAGATCGATTGTAACTAAGATTGTTCTGTGCAAGTGGGCCCTGGTGTACCTGCTCCTGGTGTACCTGCTCCTGGTGTACCTGCTCCTGGTTGTACCTGCTCCTGGTTGTACCTGCTCTCCCTCAGTGTGGTGATGGCACAAGTTGCAACCATGTGTGTCATACCAGCTGTATAATTGCTGACAGCTGTTTAACACGCGAACACTGACCACTAACCCATATTAAGGACACTGATAGCGTCTCTTCTACAAATGGGGGGCACGGGTGGCCCAGTCGTCTAAGGCGCCGCGATTCGCTGTGCAGAGTTGCGTCCCTTGGGCACGCCAGAAACCTATGATTGTGGGTTCGAATCCCGGTTCGCCCCGATTATGTTTCTAGGTTTGTCAGCACCATATCCGTGCTCGTGGGTTTCACTGAAGTGGTAAACGTCTGAGACCTGCATCACTTCGGGCTTTCCTCCCACATCAAGCTGACACGCCGTGATATCACTGGAATACTGTTAAAAGCGGCGTTAAACCAAACTCACTCACTCACTCACTATTCTACAAATGTCATGTCTATTTTGTGAAACAGAAGAAACGGTTCTTCGGCGGTGACGACACTGTGTTCAAGTCTCCGATGCCGCAGAGCTCGTGTGGATGTCCTAGTCGAGCAGTGCACCGCAACAGCAAGTCCTCCCTCAAAGACAGCCCCATGATCACGCCAGAGAGGGCGGCGCGCAGGAGAGTGGTCAGTTGCTATTGTTACATGGTTTTCAGAAAATCTTCTCAATAATTTAAATGTCACTTATTTTTCATCATAATTTTGCAAAATGTTTCAGAAGGTTTTGTTCTCTCATTCTGTTGAGGAATCTGATCCAACAGATCACATACACTGGCTCCATACACTGAACCCACCAATGGACACTTCCAACAGATCACATGCACTGCTCCATACACTGAACCCACCAATGGCCATTTCCAACAGACCACATGCACTGGCTCCATACACTGAACCCACCAATGGACTCTTCCAACAGATCACATGCACTGGCTCCATACACTGAACCCACCAATGGACACCTCCAACAGATGACATGCACTGGCTCCATACACTGAACCCACCAATGAACACCTCCAACAGATGACATGCACTGGCTCCATACACTGAACCCACCAATGGACACCTCCAACAGATCACATGCACTGGCTCCATACACTGAACCCACCATTGACTCTTCCAACAGATCACATGCACTGGCTCCATACACTGAACCCACGATTGACTCTTCCAACAGATCACATGCACTGGCTCCATACACTGAACCCACCAATGGACACCTCCAACAGATCACATGCACTGGCTCCATACACTGAACCCACCATTGACTCTTCCAACAGATCACATGCACTGGCTCCATACACTGAACCCACCATTGACTCTTCCAACAGATCACATGCACTGGCTCAATACACTGAACCTACCAATGGGCTCTTCCAACAGATCACATGCACTGGCTCCATACACTGAACCCACCAATGGACACCTCCAACAGATCACATGCACTGGCTCCATACACTGAACCCACCAATGGACACTTCCAACAGATCACATGCACTGGCTCTATACACTGAACCCACCATTGACTCTTCCAACAGATCACATGCATTGGCTCCATACACTGAACCCACCAATGGACACCTCCAACAGATCACATGCACTGGCTCCATACACTGAACCCACCAATGGACACCTCCAACAGATCACATGCACTGGCTCCATACACTGAACCCACCATTGACTCTTCCAACAGATCACATGCACTGGCTCCATACACTGAACCCACCATTGACTCTTCCAACAGATCACATGCACTGGCTCAATACACTGAACCTACCAATGGGCTCTTCCAACAGATCACATGCACTGGCTCCATACACTGAACCCACCATTGACTCTTCCAACAGATCACATGCACTGGCTCAATACACTGAACCTACCAATGGGCTCTTCCAACAGATCACTTGCACTGCTCCATACACTGAACCCACCAATGGGCTCTTCCAACAGATCACATGCACTGGCTCCATACACTGAACCCACCATTGACTCTTCCAACAGACCACATGCACTGGCTCCATACACTGAACCTACCAATGGGCTCTTCCAACAGATCACTTGCACTGGCTCCATACACTGAACCCACCAATGGACACCTCCAACAGATCACATGCACTGGCTCCATACACTGAACCAACCAATGGACACTTCCAACAGATCACATGCACTGGCTCTATACACTGAACCCACCATTGACTCTTCCAACAGATCACATGCACTGGCTCCATACACTGAACCCACCAATGGACACCTCCAACAGATCACATGCACTGGCTCCATACACTGAACCCACCATTGACTCTTCCAACAGATCACATGCACTGGCTCCATACACTGAACCCACCATTGACTCTTCCAACAGATCACATGTACTGGCTCAATACACTGAACCTACCAATGGGCTCTTCCAACAGATCACATGCACTGGCTCCATACACTGAACCCACCAATGGACACCTCCAACAGATCACATGCACTGGCTCCATACACTGAACCCACCAATGGACACTTCCAACAGATCACATGCACTGGCTCTATACACTGAACCCACCATTGACTCTTCCAACAGATCACATGCATTGGCTCCATACACTGAACCCACCAATGGACACCTCCAACAGATCACATGCACTGGCTCCATACACTGAACCCACCAATGGACACCTCCAACAGATCACATGCACTGGCTCTATACACTGAACCCACCATTGACTCTTCCAACAGATCACATGCATTGGCTCCATACACTGAACCCACCAATGGACACCTCTAACAGATCACATGCACTGGCTCCATACACTGAACCCACCAATGGACACCTCCAACAGATCACATGCACTGGCTCCATACACTGAACCCACCAATGGACACCTCCAACAGATCACATGCACTGGCTCCATACACTGAACCCACCAATGGACACCTCCAACAGACCACATGCACTGGCTCCATACACTGAACCCACCAATGGACACCTCCAACAGATCACATGCACTGGCTCCATACACTGAACCCACCAATGGACACCTCCAACAGATCACATGCACTGGCTCCATACACTGAACCCACCAATGGACACCTCCAACAGACCACATGCACTGGCTCCATACACTGAACCCACCAATGGACACCTCCAACAGATCACATGCACTGGCTCCATACACTGAACCCACCAATGGACACTTCCAACAGATCACTTGCACTGGCTCCATACACTGAACCCACCAATGGACACCTCCAACAGACCACATGCACTGGCTCAATACACTGAACCCACCAATGGACACCTCCAACAAATCACATGCACACATGTTGATCAGAATCTGAAATTGTGTTTTATTCTCCATTGCGTGGCTTCTTTGAAAAAAATGTGAACCACTCTAATAGATCACTATCTAAACATATAAGTTTTGCTGACCACTACAAGGGATTCCCCTGTCGCAGATAAGTGACTTGCCCAAACCAGGGGACAGGAGGAACACTCATTGGGTATTCTACCAGGACATTGATGAATGCTTGATTCTGATTGGTTAAGAAGAGGTTTCCCTTTTGCTATGGAAACCTCTTTCAAACATATTAGCCTTTTCACACAAAAAACCGTCTGTATGAATACATCGATAACCTACATATTGGTTCATAAAAAAATGTCTGCTGATTGATCACCCCCCATATGAATTGTAAAACGGATCTATATTTCCTCTATTACATGCTGGGTCTCAAATACAGGACAGGTCTCTAATACACACAGAGTCAAGGGCTCTCATGAAATTAATTGATGCCCTAGCATGTAATAGAAGAAATACGATAGTTTGATATCGGATGTTTTTGGCGTTCTAGGCCACAACCCTGACATTGATGACATTACAAGACTTAACAAAGGCATATCTTTTCCATACAAATGACATGTTAATGAAACTGATAAAGAGCTCGGCTCCAAATTAAAATAAGAGGTATCTACTCTACATCCAATTTCAAAACACAGTAGGTTTATCTTCTAAATGACCGGGTTTGGCAGAGAGTCACCCATTCTCGGGGATTACACCAAACATAATCTGCAGATTGGGCAGCTTCTTAAATGAAGGACAACATATATACATACTCGTATGTCTCCAGTCTCTCGCCCCGTCGGCCTTCACGCCAGCCAACCCCCACAAGACCCCCTTCCTCACACCCTTCCGGGCCGCGGCCCAGAGAACACCATTCCGAACACCCAAGAGTGTCCGAAGAGGGGCCCCACAACCAGAGGAAGAGCAGAGGATTCTGGGAACCCCGGACTATCTGGCTCCCGAGATTCTGCTACAGAAACCACATGGTAGTGTATTCTGTCTGTAGCCATCTGTAGCGTCATGGAATGATACATCGCTGGTTATACCTTAGCCTACATCCCATTGTTGGGAATTCATCTCAAACAGCTTATATCGAGTACATCTTGCACCCACTATTCTTGGGTATGGGTCTCGGGAAGAATTGCTATTTCTTATATTGTTGGCAGTTAGAAACTGTATTGTATTGCTTCTGGTGAATGAACAGGAGATATAGTTTGGCACCGTTGTGTCCCTACGTATTCCTTCTTTATTGATCATGTTTGGTTGTGTTGAAACTTGGTTAACTCAAGTATTTATGCAGGTCCCTTCAACTTCAACACAATGGTATTTGACTGGAACAAGCTTGATCAATAAAAATGTGAAATTAAAACTTTATGAGACATAATGGTTTACAATTTAAATGGTATTTCCTGTTATGCCAGGCATTGTTCTGTGGACATAGATTATCATGTGTGATTGTCTCATAAAATGAGCTGACAATAGCCTATATAGTCTTGTAAAATGAGCTGACAATAGTCTATATAGTCTTGTAAAATTAGCTGACAATAGTCTATGTCTATATAGTCTTGTAAAATGAGCTGACAATAGTCTATGTCTATATAGTCTTGTAAAATGAGCTGACAATAGCCTATATAGTCTTGTAAAATGAGCTGACAATAGTCTACATAGTCTTGTAAAATGAGCTGACAATAGCCTATATAGTCTTGTAAAATGAGCTGACAATAGTCTATATAGTCTTGTAAAATAAGCTGACAATAGCCTATATAGTCTTGTAAAATAAGCTGACAAAAGCCTATATAGTCTTGTAAAATTAGCTGACAGTAGTCTATATAGTCTTGTAAAATTAGCTGACAATAGTCTATGTCTATATAGTCTTGTAAAATGAGCTGACAATAGCCTATATAGTCTTGTAAAATGAGCTGACAATAGTCTATATAGTCTTGTAAAATTAGCTGACAGTAGTCTATATAGTCTTGTAAAATTAGCTGACAATAGTCTATGTCTATATAGTCTTGTAAAATGAGCTGACAATAGCCTATATAGTCTTGTAAAATGAGCTGACAATAGCCTATATAGTCTTGTAAAATGAGCTGACAATAGTCTATGTCTATATAGTCTTGTAAAATGAGCTGACAATAGCCTATATAGTCTCGTAAAATGAGCTGACAATAGCCTATATAGTCTTGTAAAATGAGCTGACAATAGCCTATATAGTCTTGTAAAATGAGCTGACAATAGCCTTTATAGTCTCGTGTAGAGCAAACCCAATGCCGTGTTCCTCATCACACCTCTCAGCACTGTAGGACTGTGTGTCTGGTGTTGCAGGCATGGCCGTCGACTGGTGGGCTCTCGGAGTCTGTCTGTTCGAGTTCCTCACTGGCATCCCGCCCTTCAATGATCAAAACCCAGAGTCGGTCTTTGAAAACATCCTGAACAGAGGTGAGTTGCCCCAGGTATTGTAACTTTCTGATGATGTAGGGGTGTGTCACATGATGTAGGTGTGTGTCATATGATGTAGTGGTGTGTCACCCGATGTAGTGGTGTATCACATGATGTAGGGGTGTGTCATATGATGTAGTGGTCTGTCACATGACATAGTGGTGTGTCACATGATGTAGTGGTGTGTCACATGATGTAGTGGTGTATCACATGATGTAGTGGTGTGTCACATGATGTAGTGGTGTGTCACACTATGTAGTGGTGTATCACACGATGTAGTGGTGTATCACACGATGTAGTGGTGTGTCACATGATGTAGTGGTGTGTCACATGACATAGTGGTGTGTCACATAATGTAGGTGTGTGTCATATGATGTAGTGGTGTGTCACATGATGTAGTGGTGTATCACATGATGTAGTGGTGTGTCACATGATGTAGTGATGTATCACATGATGTAGGGGTGTGTCACATGATGTAGTGGTGTGTCACATGATGTAGTGGTCTGTCACATGACATAGTGGTGTGTCACATGATGTAGTGGTGTGTCACATGATGTAGTGGTGTATCACATGATGTAGTGGTGTGTCACACGATGTAGTGGTGTATCACACGATGTAGTGGTGTGTCACATGATGTAGTGGTGTGTCACATGACATAGTGGTGTGTCACATAATGTAGGTGTGTGTCATATGATGTAGTGGTGTGTCACATGATGTAGTGATGTATCACATGACATAGTGGTGTGTCACATGATGTAGTGTTGCGTCACATAACGTGGTGATATAGCAGACTGTGCAGTAAGTCAAGTCACTCCCTCCCCACACTGCACTCTACCACGCCCCCCTTCTGCTGCAGACATCCCGTGGCCGGACGAGGAGGAAGCACTGAGTCAGCAGGCCCAGGACGCCATTGACCGTCTGCTCACCACCAACCCAGACGACCGACCTGGAGCCAAAGGTACAGCTGTGTCAGACATCACTGAGGTGCTTCACTGTCAGTACATTTGGAATAGCGCGCATACAAATTCAACACATGTCAGAATCAAATGTTGAGATGTGTTTGTGTGCGTTGTTTCCAACGTGTATTTGGTAGACAAGGCTGAGAACCCATGGTAGCATATCATCATACTGTGTGTAAAACTGAGTGTTCCCTTATTCATTTCCTTGAGTATATATTGTATCAGGGGTCAGATATAGTTGTGTAGATTCATGTAGTGTGATGGTACTGACACTGTGATGGTACTGACACTGTGATGGTACTGACACTGTGATGGTACTGACACTGTGATGGTACTGACACTGTGATGGTTCTGACACTGTGATGGTATTGACACTGTGATGGTACTGACACTGTGATGGTACTGACACTGTGATGGTATTGACACTGTGGTGGTATTGACACTGTGATGGTATTGACACTGTGGTGGTATTGACACTGTGATGGTACTGACACTGTGATGGTACTGACACTGTGATGGTACTGACACTGTGATGGTACTGACACTGTGATGGTATTGACACTGTGATGGTATTGACACTGTGATGGTACTGACACTGTGATGGTACTGACACTGTGATGGTATTGACGCTGTGATGGTATTGACGCTGTGATGGTACTGACACTGTGATGGTACTGACACTGTGATGGTACTGACACTGTGATGGTATTGACACTGTGATGGTATTGACACTGTGATGGTACTGACACTGTGATGGTACTGACACTGTGATGGTATTGACACTGTGATGGTACTGACACTGTGATGGTACTGACACTGTGATGGTATTGACACTGTGATGGTATTGACACTGTGATGGTATTGACACTGTGATGGTACTGACACTGTGATGGTACTGACACTGTGATGGTACTGACACTGTGATGGTACTGACACTGTGATGGTATTGACACTGGGATGGTACTGACACTGTGATGGTACTGACACTGTGATGGTATTGACACTGTGATGGTACTGACACTGTGATGGTACTGACACTGTGATGGTACTGACACTGTGATGGTACTGACACTGTGATGGTATTGACACTGGGATGGTACTGACACTGTGATGGTATTGACACTGTGATGGTATTGACACTGTGATGGTACTGACACTGTGATGGTACTGACACTGTGATGGTATTGACACTGGGATGGTACTGACACTGTGATGGTATTGACACTGTGATGGTACTGACACTGTGATGGTATTGACACTGGGATGGTACTGACACTGTGATGGTATTGACACTGTGATGGTACTGACACTGTGATGGTACTGACACTGTGATGGTATTGACACTGGGATGGTACTGACACTGTGATGGTACTGACACTGTGATGGTACTGACACTGTGATGGTATTGACACTGGGATGGTACTGACACTGTGATGGTACTGACACTGTGATGGTATTGACACTGTGATGGTACTGACACTGTGATGGTATTGACACTGTGATGGTACTGACACTGTGATGGTATTGACACTGTGATGGTACTGACACTGTGATGGTATTGACACTGTGATGGTACTGACACTGTGATGGTATTGACACTGTGATGGTACTGACACTGTGATGGTACTGACACTGTGATGGTATTGACACTGTGATGGTCTGTGTTGTAGATGTGAGACAACTGCCCCTGTTTTCTGCGGTCGACTGGGACCATGTCCTGGATATGGAGCCGGCCTTTGTTCCTCAACCAGATGACGAGACAGACACAACTTACTTTGAAGGTAGGATAAATATTATACACCTTGCTTTAAAAGGATGGATAAAATATTACACAACTTACTTTGAAGGTAGGATAAAATATTATACACCTTGCTTTAAAAGGATGGATAAAATATGACACAACTTACTTTGAAGGTAGGATAAAATATTATGCACCTTGCTTTAAAAGGATGGATAAATTATGACACAACTTACTTTGAAGGTAGGATAAAATATGACACAACTTACTTTGAAGGTAGGATAAAATACGACACAACTTACTTTGAAACTGACAGTGAAAGATTGAAAAGGAATATATCATAAAGAAATCGCAATAAAATACAAATATCCATAACCTACAAATAACAAATACCAAAAGCAGAGAAAATATTTGAGTGTTGTAGAGGGCAATTAATGTTACATGTATAAGAGTAAACTTGTTTTGCTAGTTTCCCAAATGTAATTTAGTAGCTTCCCAGACTTCCCTGTGAGCCTCTCGTCTGTGTTCATCGGGTGCTATTTGCAAGTTAACTGTGTTGCGTACATTCTTTGCTACAGCTTGATCTGTGACAGCTTCAGTGATCCTGGTAGGAAGTTTGGTGTGGGTCCATCTCATCAGTTTTGTCTTGTATTACAGCACGGAACACCTTGCAGAACTTGATTGTGAGTGCCGTGGATCTGTGAGAGCTGTTGATCTAGGAGTGCCGTCGATCTGTGGACCTAGGAGTGCCGTGGATATGTGAGAGCTGTGGATCTAGGAGTGCCGTGGATCTGTGAGAGCTGTGGATCTAGGAGTGCCGTGGATCTAGGAGTGCTGTGGATCTGTGAGCACTCTGAATCTAGGAGTGCCGTGGATCTGTGAGCACTCTGAATCTAGGAGCGCTGTGTATCTTTGAGCACTTTGAATCTATATAGGACATGTAGATTCGCCTCTCAGGGCTTCATACAACATATGGCCCTGCTGTATTGACACATCGACACATGGCCCTGCTGTATTGACACATCGACACATGGCCCTGCTTGGTGGGGATGGTGAGATGTTTAACAATGTTGACAAATGTGTGTATGCGTTGTTATTCATAACTAACATAACAATGACCTATTGTAGAAGTCTGTATTCGACAGTACCAACACTGTACGCTGCTGTTAGACATCAAGTACCAGCCTGTCATGGATGTGTACTTCTTAGTATTTATTGCTTCAACTTTTACCGTAGGGGAACCAAGTGCCACGCGTCTGGCCGTGCTTCTCACAGGGACGGAATACTTCTACGTTAGTAACATTGCCATGGAGGATTTTAACAAGGTTTTACACGTGTCTCATCTGTACAGCCAATGATCTTGTTTCCTGAGGATCTATGGGAGTACACGCAGCTTGAGTATTGTAACTGTAGTTGATGGTCGACCGGGAGGGCTTCTGATACCTAGTCATGAAGAGTTCACCAGTGTGTCTCTGTTGTAGAGTAGACTGTAGCTAGTGGATGGTAGATAGGTTGTGTTGTGTTCTGGCTCACATGTTTACCAGGGATATAACACCATCCTCGTCCACCAGCAGTCTCATCACAGGTGACTAACGGGGTCGATGCGGTGGAGATCCGGGGTAGAATAGGTTTTCAACAACCCATGCTTGCTGTAAGAGGCAATTATGCCTGTCCTAAGAGGCGACTAGCAGGATCCGGTGGTCAGGCTTGCTGACTTGGTTGATGCATGTCATCGTATTCCAATTGCGTTGATCGATGCTCATGCTGTCAATCACTGAATTGTCTGGTCCAGACTCGATTATTTACAGACCGCCATCATATAGCTGGAATATTGCTTAGTGCGGCGTTAAACAACAAACGAAACAAATACCGGAACTTGTTGGTGACCTTCCTGACCTTTGACTGCTGGTAGCGATGACTGCTGGTAGATGAGGATGTGTGTACATTATGTGATACGAGCCACTTAGAGCTGTGATACAGGGCCAGGTTTTACATGCAGTTTTACGTCCCGTGTTCGTTAGTGAAACATATCATGACTAGCAGGTTATTGTAAATATTGTCTTATTTTGTGACAATCTTATTTTGACCAAAGTATGTTCGACATGTTTGTAATAGAAGTAGGTTTTTATGTAGGGTGCCATCATAATAAAATATGACATGTTTTCTGAGATATGGTTCAATGTGTTTTCATCATGGAGTCTTTGTGGTCTTTAGAAACATTTCCTGTGACTAGCATACAGACTCAGTTTGTTACAGTCACTTGATTTCTTTTTATTCCCCACTGATAACTTCCTCCATGACTGTACCGTATACCAGCTAGTCCAGGCAAGATCTTACCCCCTGAGTTTCTGGAAATGTTTAGTGTGGTATTGTCAGTATTGGCCATGGAGTCGACCTGCAGGGGGTTTGCTGGGACTGTTTTGTGCAGGTTCTAGTCTAAAAGCGCTCATTGTCATCAGCACGTAGTCAACTGTGGCCACACTTTATTATCTACCTCCAGATTGGAATCAGGGTTCCATAAAATACAAAAAGGGGGAATTTAGATCATCATGATCATAGCTATTTTTCCACATTCTGAAATTTGGACAATTCCTCGTTACTGAACCTGCCGCTCATCCCCACAACTAGCTGAGAATTAAATGTCAGCTGAGCTGAAATCAAAGTGTGGCCACAGGAGTGACAGACATGTGTTTATATGTCATCATTATGGTATATATTATTTTTGCAATAGTATTATTGGCAAGGGAGGTAATCGTGATCATGCATAACATAAACAGGTTTTGCTGCCTGATGAGAGAAATATTTTGCTGAAATATTTTACTGCCATCATTATATCTGACAATAAATGATACATTTTAGCATCTCCTGTTTTGTTGTTTGTCACGTGAATCTGATGAAGATACATTCCACAGATCACAGGGGGAAGGGAGCCCAGCCCTAGGCCATTAGATGTGCTGGAAACCTGTGATTGTTGGCTGGAAGCCCTGGTTGTGACAAGTGGTATGTCAGCACCATACCTGTGATTGTGGGTTGGAATCCCTGATTATAACAAGTGGTATGTCAGCACCATACCTGAGATTGTGGGCTGGAATCGCTGGTTGTGACAAGTGGTATGTCAGCACCATACCTGTGATTGTGGGCTGGAATCCCTGATTGTGACAAGTGGTATGTCAGCACCATACCTGAGATTGTGGGCTGGAATCGCTGGTTGTGACAAGTGGTATGTCAGCATCATACCTGTGATTGTGGGCTGGAAGCCCTGATTGTGACAAGTGGTATGTCAGCACCATACCTGAGATTGTGGGCTGGAATCCCTGATTGTGACAAGTGGTATGTCAGCACCATACCTGTGATTGTGGGCTGGAATCGCTGGTTGTGACAAGTGGTATGTCAGCACCATACCTGAGATTGTGGGCTGGAATCCCTGATTGTGACAAGTGGTATGTCAGCATCATACTTGTGATTGTGGGCTGGAATCCCTGATTGTGACAAGTGGTATGTCAGCACCATACCTGAGATTGTGGGCTGGAATCCCTGATTGTGACAAGTGGTATGTCAGCACCATACCTGAGATTGTGGGCTGGAATCCCTGATTGTGACAAGTGGTATGTCAGCACCATACCTGTGATTGTGGGCTGGAATCCCTGATTGTGACAAGTGGTATGTCAGCACCATACCTGTGATTGTGGGCTGGAATCCCCGATTGTGACAAGTGGTATGTCAGCACCATACCTGTGATTGTGGGCTGGAATCCCTGATTGTGACAAGTGGTATGTCAGCACCATACCTGAGATTGTGGGCTGGAAGCCCTGATTGTGACAAGTGGTATGTCAGCATCATACTTGTGATTGTGGGCTGGAATCCCTGATTGTGACAAGTGGTATGTCAGCACCATACCTGAGATTGTGGGCTGGAATCCCTGATTGTGACAAGTGGTATGTCAGCACCATACCTGTGATTGTGGGCTGGAATCCCTGATTGTGACAAGTGGTATGTCAGCACCATACCTGTGATTGTGGGCTGGAATCCCCGATTGTGACAAGTGGTATGTCAGCACCATACCTGTGATTGTGGGCTGGAATCCCTGATTGTGACAAGTGGTATGTCAGCACCATACCTGAGATTGTGGGCTGGAAGCCCTGATTGTGACAAGTGGTATGTCAGCACCATACCTGAGATTGTGGGCTGGAATCGCTGGTTGTGACAAGTGGTATGTCAGCATCATACTTGTGATTGTTGGCTGGAATCCCTGGTTGTGACAAGTGGTATGTCAGCACCATACCTGTGATTGTGGGCTGGAATCCCTGATTGTGACAAGTGGTATGTCAGCACCATACCTGAGATTGTGGGCTGGAAGCCCTGATTGTGACAAGTGGTATGTCAGCATCATACTTGTGATTGTGGGCTGGAATCCCTGATTGTGACAAGTGGTATGTCAGCACCATACCTGAGATTGTGGGCTGGAATCGCTGGTTGTGACAAGTGGTATGTCAGCATCATACTTGTGATTGTTGGCTGGAATCCCTGATTGTGACAAGTGGTATGTCAGCACCATACCTGAGATTGTGGGCTGGAATCCCTGATTGTGACAAGTGGTATGTCAGCACCATACCTGAGATTGTGGGCTGGAATCCCTGATTGTGACAAGTGGTATGTCAGCACCATACCTGTGATTGTGGGCTGGAATCCCTGATTGTGACAAGTGGTATGTCAGCACCATACCTGTGATTGTGGGCTGGAATCCCCGATTGTGACAAGTGGTATGTCAGCACCATACCTGTGATTGTGGGCTGGAATCCCTGATTGTGACAAGTGGTATGTCAGCACCATACCTGAGATTGTGGGCTGGAAGCCCTGATTGTGACAAGTGGTATGTCAGCATCATACTTGTGATTGTGGGCTGGAAGCCCTGATTGTGACAAGTGGTATGTCAGCACCATACCTGAGATTGTGGGCTGGAATCGCTGGTTGTGACAAGTGGTATGTCAGCATCATACTTGTGATTGTTGGCTGGAATCCCTGATTGTGACAAGTGGTATGTCAGCACCATACCTGAGATTGTGGGCTGGAATCCCTGATTGTGACAAGTGGTATGTCAGCACCATACCTGTGATTGTGGGCTGGAATCCCTGATTGTGACAAGTGGTATGTCAGCACCATACCTGTGATTGTGGGCTGGAATCCCCGATTGTGACAAGTGGTATGTCAGCACCATACCTGTGATTGTGGGCTGGAATCCCTGATTGTGACAAGTGGTATGTCAGCACCATACCTGTGATTGTGGGCTGGAAGCCCTGATTGTGACAAGTGGTATGTCAGCATCATACCTGAGATTGTGGGCTGGAATCGCTGGTTGTGACAAGTGGTATGTCAGCACCATACCTGAGATTGTGGGCTGGAATCCCTGATTGTGACAAGTGGTATGTCAGCACCATACCTGTGATTGTGGGCTGGAATCCCTGATTGTGACAAGTGGTATGTCAGCACCATACCTGAGATTGTGGGCTGGAATCGCTGGTTGTGACAAGTGGTATGTCAGCACCATACCTGAGATTGTGGGCTGGAATCCCTGATTGTGACAAGTGGTATGTCAGCACCATACCTGTGATTGTGGGCTGGAATCCCTGATTGTGACAAGTGGTATGTCAGCATCATACTTGTGATTGTGGGCTGGAATCCCTGATTGTGACAAGTGGTATGTCAGCACCATACCTGAGATTGTTGGCTGGAATCGCTGGTTGTGACAAGTGGTATGTCAGCACCACACCTGTGATTGTGGGCTGGAATCCCTGATTGTGACAAGTGGTATGTCAGCATCATACTTGTGATTGTGGGCTGGAATCCCTGATTGTGACAAGTGGTATGTCAGCACCATACCTGAGATTGTGGGCTGGAATCCCTGATTGTGACAAGTGGTATGTCAGCACCATACCTGAGATTGTGGGCTGGAATCCCTGATTGTGACAAGTGGTATGTCAGCACCATACCTGAGATTGTGGGCTGGAAGCCCTGATTGTGACAAGTGGTATGTCAGCACCATACCTGTGATTGTGGGCTGGAATCCCTGATTGTGACAAGTGGTATGTCAGCACCATACCTGAGATTGTGGGCTGGAATCCCTGATTGTGACAAGTGGTATGTCAGCACCATACCTGAGATTGTGGGCTGGAATCCCTGATTGTGACAAGTGGTATGTCAGCATCATACTTGTGATTGTGGGCTGGAATCCCTGATTGTGACAAGTGGTATGTCAGCACCATACCTGAGATTGTGGGCTGGAATCCCTGATTGTGACAAGTGGTATGTCAGCATCATACCTGAGATTGTGGACTGGAATCCCTGGTTGTGACAAGTGGTATGTCAGCACCATACCTGAGATTGTGGGCTGGAATCCCTGATTGTGACAAGTGGTATGTCAGCACCATACCTGAGATTGTGGGCTGGAAGCCCTGATTGTGACAAGTGGTATGTCAGCATCATACTTGTGATTGTGGGCTGGAATCCCTGATTGTGACAAGTGGTATGTCAGCATCATACCTGAGATTGTGGGCTGGAAGCCCTGATTGTGACAAGTGGTATGTCAGCACCATACCTGAGATTGTGGGCTGGAATCCCTGGTTGTGACAAGTGGTATGTCAGCACCATACCCGAGATTGTGGGCTGGAATCGCTGGTTGTGACAAGTGGTATGTCAGCACCATACCTGAGATTGTGGGCTGGAATCCCTGGTTGTGACAAGTGGTATGTCAGCATCATACCTGTGATTGTGGGCTGGAATCCCTGATTGTGACAAGTGGTATGTCAGCATCATACCTGAGATTGTGGGCTGGAATCGCTGGTTGTGACAAGTGGTATGTCAGCACCATACCTGTGATTGTGGGCTGGAATCCCTGGTTGTGACAAGTGGTATGTCAGCACCATACCTGAGATTGTGGGCTGGAATCCCTGATTGTGACAAGTGGTATGTCAGCATCATACTTGTGATTGTGGGCTGGAATCCCCGATTGTGACAAGTGGTATGTCAGCATCATACCTGTGATTGTGGGCTGGAATCCCTGATTGTGACAAGTGGTATGTCAGCACCATACCTGTGATTGTGGGCTGGAATCCCTGGTTGTGACAAGTGGTATGTCAGCATCATACTTGTGATTGTGGGCTGGAATCCCCGATTGTGACAAGTGGTATGTCAGCACCATACCTGTGATTGTGGGGATTGTGACAAGTGGTATGTCAGCATCATACCTGTGATTGTGGGCTGGAATCCCTGATTGTGACAAGTGGTATGTCAGCACCATACCTGTGATTGTGGGCTGGAATCCCTGGTTGTGACAAGTGGTATGTCAGCATCATACTTGTGATTGTGGGCTGGAAGCCCTGATTGTGACAAGTGGTATGTCAGCACCATACCTGTGATTGTGGGGATTGTGACAAGTGGTATGTCAGCACCATACCTGAGATTGTGAGTTTCCCCAATGTGGCAAATGTTCAAGATCTGCATCATTCTGGACATTCTCCCATCACTGTTGGGGGTGTGGTGGGGTAGCCTAGTGGTTAAAGCGTTCGCTCGTCACACCGAAGACCCGGTTCAATTCTTGACATGGGTACAAAGTGTGATGCCCAGTTCTGGTGTTCCCCGCCGTGATATTGCTGGAATATTGCTAAAAGCCGCGTAAAACCATACTCACTCACTCACTCCCCCATCATGCTGAGACAATGTTTTTGTTTAACGCAGCACTCAGCAACATGCCAGATATCATAGTCCCTGTGAATCTGTGGTTGTTTTAACATAGTTGGATAGCCAATGTCACCCTTTCAATGTTTTGACCACCTCTGTGGTCTCGTGGTAGAGCACCCGCCCGGAAAGGGGAAGGCCTGGGGTTCAATCCCCGGCCACGTCATACCAAAAGACATCAAAAGACGGTACTTGTTGTTACTGGTGCTCTGCAATAACGGGCTAAAACAAGGACTGGTTGCCTCAGAGTCATTAGACTGTGTCAGAGTGGGGTATTCATGTTAAACTGTGGCATGGCATCTCTGGCATTAAAACTGGCATTAGTCGGGACTAGCACAAGCAGCCATGTAGGTGCACCTCGCCTCATTTCACCTGACCTCTAGTTAATACAGGTTATCCAGCAGACCAAGAAACATATTTAAGGGATGTAAATAAAATATGCCAGGACTGTCAGTCGAGTTCCCGGCTTTTAGGTCCGACCAATGTTATGTTACACAAAATATGCTAATATGCAGGAGGAATCAAGAAAAATATAACAGGAATTCTTGGAGGTCAAATAGGGAGAATTAATAACAATAATCACTCCCAAACTGTTTTCAGACTTGCTGTGTGTGAAGTGTTTGTTAAGTTTGTGACCATGGTAACCTGTCGTATGTGCACATTTGTGTTTCTGTGAATATATAAGACGTCATTTGTCCTAATAAAAGATCATGAAAGAACAGTAACTTACAAGGCTTATTTATTTCCACTTTAAATATTGTTTTAAGGTTGGTTGAATGAAATAGGTCTGCCAAACAGCTAACATGTAGGGGTTTGATGTTTAGGAAAATGAACCTTCAACCAAATACAGTACAAGCTTTTTTATTACTTTTTCAAAATCAGATTTTCTTTATTTTGGAGTAATACGGTCACGTGCATCCCCTGCCAGGTATGAAAAAGTCAATAATTTGATATGTGTCTGCATTTCTAAGGTATATTCTGGTGAAATGTGATTAATAATATGATTAGTGAAAAATGGTGACTTTATAAACGTGAGGGCTGTGAAGAGAATCATTAATTTATTATAAAATCAACAACAAACGTGTTTCTATTCCGCGCACCTGACTTGTATTACCTCCCCTTGATCAGTGTATATTATCCCTAGCAACAGTAGTTAAGGAGCCATCTTTGATGTTTACGTTTCTGACGAAGCACATGTACAGTCCTGATTTGCGTAATCGACAGACGTTGGGAACAGTTCCAACTTATTTTTCAGACAGCAGGACTTACGCTGGGGTTAGTTGTGTTCATCTGTTTTCTCTGAATACTTTTGAAGAATAGTGCAATCTAAAACATGAAGATCTAGCGGTGAAATGATTCAAAACAAAAACTTGAGTAGTTAGGCCTATGTCATAAATGCACAGTAGCATAGATACCTTTGATTTTTTGTTTGTTACAGTGGAAATTGATTTTTGTCGTTCAGTTTTATTCAACGGAATGCACAAACTGAGTAAAAACATTATTGTGATATTGTTTTACACTAAGAAGATTTCATTCACATTCGACCGTTGTGGAATATTCTGGACTAAAATTATTCACGAATCACGAATTCATATTTTTATTTATGACGTTTTCAACATAAGATTTTTAAAACAAAATGATCTGTAGCTGTGTTGTAAGTTTTAGATGCTTATTTATGTTCGAATTTCATATTTATTTGTTGAAGTGTATTAGGTGTAATACTTAATAGTATGATGATTGTCTCCCTTGGTTCAGGATAGTGAGATAACAAGTGACAGCCATGCCTTCAATCGAGGAAATCCCGTCCCTACCCCTCACAAATGACTCCCAAGTCCAAGTGATGACAGAAGCTGAGGAGACCTGCAACAAGATGGATATAAAGATGGTGGATGAAATTGTTGATGTAAAGAAAGTAAAGAGTGAGTCAGGTATCATTGATATTAGTTTCCATTCTTGAAAGTCAGACCTTGAAAGATGCCTGAAGTACAGTTTAATTTTATTGAGCCCTTTTAGGAGTCACTATGTTTATAGGTGTAGTAAACTATACGTCGTAGCTCTGTCTCTGGTTGAAGTAAAACTCTCAACATAGCTGGGTTTATTCAATGACATTGCATGTAGAGATGATAGATCGATCATTGGGAGGAGCTTATATGCACACTCAATGACCCCTGACGTCACAGGGCATTGTTTCGCCGGTGTGACTGGCAACAAAATACTTCAAATTACATTATAGGGTATTTTAGTATAGGTTATGAAAAGCTTATGGTACTGTATTCTAAAGGTTTGCCCAATTATTCTTTTTTTGTAATTAATATATCATGAACAGATTGTCAGTCCCATATTCCCAACTTGATTTTTTTTAAATATTACAAACATTAGTCTTGGCAGGAAGAAAAATAAATTCTTCGAAATTTTATTCAACAATTGTAAAATCTGTGGTCGATTACTCCTTAACCTAATTCTTTTAAAAACCTGCCTTTGTAGACTGCAGAATGCGAAGGAATTTACTCAACTAGATATGTTATTTGCTTCCAGTTGAGTCCTAAGGTCATGTATCTTCATTGGCTTTGATAACTAGTAATTGTGGATATGACCTTGACTGCATTGAGTCGCATTCGGTTGTTAATTCAGTTTAGTTTTGTTAAATGTACAGGTAACCTAACTCTACTCTGAAAACACAGAATGTTTTTCCCCATTAAACTATGGCTCAATAATACGCAGGTTTTGTGTTAGCAAATATATTGTGTGAACACGCTAATTATAACATTTGAAACATCACATTGTGCTTTCAGTTCCAAATTCATTTTAGCGTGGTTAAATCTACAGGTAACCTAGCTCCATATTGAAAACACAGTCTTTTTATCTTCTAATTTATAATCTCTGGTTGACCATCACCAATCAAAATCGAGTAATGTCCAAAATCATTGTAGAATGTGGTATACACATTCTGGTTTAGGATCTTTCCACAGTGGCTGCAACTAATTTGATAATGAATCTATACAATGTTCATTGAGTAATTCTTGATCAGGTTTGAAAGCATGTGCATATATGAAGTATCTGTATTTTCATAAATTTGATCAACGTTTTACTTAAAACAATAGAGGCAAATACTGTCCAAGTATTGTGCTGTACATCTGTTGGTCAGTGAGGATTGTGATTAATGGTAACCATGGTAACAGGTGTGACGGCGGTGACTGGGGGTGGAGACACAGAGGACAAGGAGAACTCCTCACAGAACACAGTGGTGGAGGAGACAAAAATACCAAAGTGAGTAAAGATGTCTGTAAACAGGCAGCCTCGATTACCCAGCTTATCTTTCCTCCAGTTTATTATGCTGCATACCTTGGACCCTGTGACTGTCGCAGCCTCGATTACCCAGCTTATCTTTCCTCCAGTTTATTATGCTGCATACCTTAGACCCTGTGACTGTTGCAGCCTCGATTACCCAGCTTATCTTTCCTCCAGTTTATTATGCTGCATACCTTAGACCCTGTGACTGTCGCAGCCTCGATTACCCAGCTTATCTTTCCTCCAGTTTATTATGCTGCATACCTTAGACCCTGTGACTGTTGCAGCCTCGATTACCCAGCTTATCTTTCCTCCAGTTTATTATGCTGCATACCTTAGACCCTGTGACTGTCGCAGCCTCGATTACCCAGCTTATCTTTCCTCCAGTTTATTATGATGCATACCTTAGACCCTGTGACTGTCGCAGCCTCGATTACCCAGCTTATCTTTCCTCCAGTTTATTATGATACATACCTTAGACCCTGTGGCTGTGAATGTCGCAGCCTTGATTGGGCTGACATGACATCGCCACCTCCCTGAACAGTAACTTCCACCTGATGTTGTTTGCATATGTGGCATATGTGTGTAGGCAGTAATGTAATCGTACAGCTATTTTTAGCTTCTGTTATGTGAATCGAACTGAAGCTATTATAGTGACGGTGGTCCAGGCTGTTTATCATCATATTTTAGGTATTTTTTGTATGATTTCAGTAATATGTAAAACCTGACACATCTGGGGACACGTAACATCAGTTTGCTGGGAATCTCATGACTTTCTGTCATTTTTTCAAAGTTTGTTAAATGCATTGTTATATTTCTGGTGACAAAACTTACAGTTTATAGTACAAGTTAGCTTCCCTGTGTGTTACATCTATCTAGTAATGTAGTTCTCTTATGTAACATAGAAGTTAGCCTGTGTTGTAACAATGTTTTAGTATCCTGACAAAGAAGTTCCTGCGGCAGCACTGCAAGGACAACAAGCTGTACTTGACCCCTGAACTCAACGATGTCCTGTACCTGCACTATAAAGGTGGGTGTCAGGCCTTACACACATAAGTCCCCACCCCCTCAACAACCCCCACACCCCGTCCCCAGGCCTCACACACACAAGTCCCCACTCCCCTAAACCCCCCAACAGCCCCTGCCCCCACACCCCGTCCCCAGGCCTCACACACCCAAGTCCCCACCCTCCTCACCCCCCCAACAACCCCCACACTCCGTCCCCAGGCCTCACACACATGTCCCCACTCACTAGTCTATGATGTATCCCTGGCTTGTCTATGATGTATCCCTGGCTTGTCTGTGATGTATCCGTCACTAGTCTATGATGTATCCCTGGCTTGTCTGTGATGTATCCCTGGCTTGTCTGTGATGTATCCCTGGCTTGTCTGTGATGTATCCCTGGCTTGTCTATGATGTATCCCTGGCTTGTCTATGATGTATCCTACACTTGTATCTGGCTTGTTGTGTCAGGTATACTAAGGCTAGAGAACCTGGAGGCCTACACAGGGCTGAAGTGTCTGTGGCTGGAGTGTAATGGCATCCGGAAGATCGAGAACCTGGAGCACCAGACCCAGCTGCGATGTCTGTACCTGCAGCAGAACCTGCTGACCCACATCGAGAACCTGGAGCCGCTGCAGCTGCTGGACTCCCTCAACGTCAGCAACAACAGCATCAGGCGCATTGAGAACATAGGTGAGCTTCAGGTGTTTCAAGAACATTTGTGATTAAACTTCACTTGCTCAGCTGTGTCTATTGGTGACTATTACTGACTAGTGACTACTCGTACCTGTCACTACTAGAATCTGATCATCATCCAGCCCTGAGGAATATTAACTCATTCTTAAAATAAAAAATCTGCAGTCAATTTTTGTAAATTCTGCAAACAAACTTTGATAACTTTGCACTTTTCTGCAAACTTTTAAGCTTAGTTTTCTTGGCCACAGCTAGAACTGAATCTGTAGATGACTGGTGTAAACATACAGATATGCACCGTAAGCAATAATACAAAGAGACAGATTCACTTCTAAACAAAATGATTACCTGTGTACACATTTAAAGCCAGCTTTCGACACACATCTGACAAATTCTGCAGCATATAAATGCAAAATTCTGCAAGAGTTCTGCACATAATTCGATTTTCTGCAAGATAGCTTCAATGAGTGTGCATTTCTGCAAAAATATTCCATAATTGCGGAATTTCATACAGCAGGGATTTCCGATGGATATGATATTAACTGCTGGTGTCCCTTGTTGAACAGCCTGTCTGCCGGTCCTGCACACACTCAACATCAGTCACAACCGCCTGAAGACAGCCCACGACGTACAGGAACTCATTCACTGCAAGAACCTTGGTGTCCTTGACCTTTCTCACAACAAGCTGGAGGATCCGGCCATCATCGACATCTTCGAGCAGATGGAGGATCTGGTGAGTTCATCATTGTCTCAGACCATACGATCTGGGGCCATATTGCTAAAAGCAGCGTAAAACTGTACTCATTCACTCTGAGCACGGTGTGCATCTGCTGACTGAGTGTCCTGACAAAATGGGGCAAAACGTTGTTCATGCATTCTGTCACTGATTTGCCTGGTCGAGACTTGGGTGTTGACAGGCTGCCTTCACACAGCTGGAATATTGCTGACTGCAACGTTAGACAACTTTAACTGTGTCAGAAATCAGAGGGTTTGAAAACAATGTTAAAGGGAGGTAATTACTGGTTTGGGTTGAAGATAAGGATTTGTTCTGAAATTGGATTGAGCATTTCATATCATAGATATTTCTGTGGTAGATGAGAAAGATGAGTAAATAAGATCTTCCGGACTTGATGGGGTCAAGGGTGTGAGTTGCATTGTCTGGCTCCTAGGATGTGCTGGTCATTGCATTGACCGCTCCTGATCTCACAGGGGTCACTAAAGGTCAGCCTGTATTACCCACAGTGCTTCATGTTCCTGTATCAGGCTTCCTCTCTGTGAGTAAAACTGTTTATCATTGAACTAACTCACCGAGGGTTGCTGAATCTTGAGAGTGATGAAGAAGCTGCTGTGATGACAGAATGCTCTCCCTTGTATCAAGACTGCATGTGTGATGTGTGTTGCAGCGTGTGTTGACACTGATGGGGAACCCGGTCATCAAGGACATCAGGAACTACAGAAAGACGACCATTGTCCGGGTGGTGAGTTCACTTTCTACAACTTTCTAATACATACACCTGGAAAAAAGTTGAGCACCACCTTACATCATGTATCGTGAACTTGCATGTTTTAGTCATACTGTAAACTACGGCTATAACAAACTGAAAAGGACCACTATGTTTACTTTGTTATAACTGTAGTTCATTATAAACATACTTTACTGTATCTGCTGACATAACTGATTTGGATAAATGTCTGAGGTGCCACTGCTGCCATGTTGGTAGAGGATCATTGCTGTTATGGTCTATAGCTCAAAGTCAGTGAAGCAGAGGGAAGCAACTGAATGGACAAACATAACTAATTATTTCTTCACAGCCGCCCATGATGTGTTCATGTGTGTGTGTTCATGTGTTCATGTATGTGTTCATGTGTGTGTGTTCATGCATGTGTGTGTTCATTTATTCATGTATTTTTGTGTTTACAGAAAAACCTCCAGCATCTCGACGACCGTCCTGTTTTCCCAAAGGAAAGAGCCTGTGCTGAAGCCTGGTACGCGTCAAACCATCAGTCACCATCTGTCATACCCACTGACACCATCTGTCATACCCACTAACACCATCTGTCATACCCGCTGACACCATCTGTCATACCCGCTGACACCATCTGTCATACCCGCTGACACCATCTGTTCTGTCATACCCGCTGACACCATCTGTCATACCCGCTGACACCATCTGTCATACCCACTGACACCATCTGTCATACCCGCTGACACCATCTGTCATACCCGCTGACACCATCTGTTCTGTCATACCCGCTGACACCATCTGTTCTGTCATACCCGCTGACACCATCTGTCATACCCGCTGACACCATCTATCATACCCGCTGACACCATCTGTCATACCCACTGACACCATCTATCATACCCGCTGACACCATCTGTCATACCCGCTGACACCATCTATCATACCCGCTGACACATCTGTCATACCCACTGACACCATCTGTCATACCCGCTGACACCATCTGTCATACCCGCTGACACCATCTGTCATACCCCCTGACACCATCTATCATACCCGCTGACACCATCTGTCATACCCGCTGACACCATCTATCATACCCGCTGACACCATCTGTCATACCAACTGACACCATCTGTCATACCCAGTGACACCATCTGTCATACCCAGTGACACCATCTGTCAAACCCGCTGACACCATCTGTCATACCCGCTGACACCATCTGTCACACCCACTGACACCATCTGTCACACCCACTGACACCATCTGTCACACCCACTGACATGGTCCTGGAGACAAACGGTTTGGGTCAGCTAACACTGTCAGGTCAGGGCGCTGTGTGTCATGTTCTACCTCTGTGTCCCCAGGGCTGTGGGTGGAGCTGAAGCTGAGAAAGAGGAGAGACAGCGATGGGCGGATAAGGAGCGCCGGAAGATTCAGGACAGTGTGGATGGTATGTACATACTTTGTCTGCTTGTATACTCCTGAGGGAGCTGAAAATTGGCTGTGCTCCCATGGTGGATGGTCTGTACATATTTCGTCTGTTTGTATAATCCTCAGGGAGCTGAGAATTGGCTATGCTTCCATGGTAAATATATGTCATGAGCTTTAGACACACTTGTGTTGAGCTTACGGTATTACTGTTACTATCACCTGACACCAGAATGTGTGGAAGTGTATTGTACACAGAGACAGCTGTGTTCCCTGTCAGGGCAGCTTCTCTCCACAATCCACTGTGTGTGTGTGGCTGTGTCCAAGCACCCATCACTTCTGCCTCGTTATTTCAGCACTCCTCAGAATCCGACAACACAGCGAGGCTCACCGAATTGAGGCCGAGCTGAATGAGAAGAACGCTGCGGAGGGAATCACAGAGAAGGTGGAGGTAGATCCCACCACTGTCGACTGGCTGTATGGGACTCATCAGCTGAAAGGGGACACACCAGAGGAGGGGGAACACAAGGTGAGGGGGGGGGGGGGGGCAGAGGACGGGGAACACAAGGTGTGAGAGAGAGAAGGGGGGGGGGACCAGAGGAGGGGGAACACAAGGTGAGGGGGGGGGCAGAGGACGGGGAACACAAGGTGTGTGTTTGTGTGCGTGTTTTTTTTTGGGGGGGGGGCAGAGGAGGGGGTCACAAGGTGAGTGGAGGACCAGAGGAGGGGGAACACAAGGTGGGGGGGGGACCAGAGGAGGGGGACCACAGGGGGGGGGGGGGGCGCAGGCAGAGGACGGGGAACACAAGGTGTGTGTTTGTGTGTGTGTGTGGGGGGGGGGGGGACCAGAGGAGGGGAACACAGGGTGTGGGGGGGGAACCAGAGGAGGGGGTCACAAGATGGGTGGAGGACCAGAGGAGGGGGAACACAAGGTGTGCCTGTGTGTGTATGGGGGGGGGGGGGGGGGGGGGGGGGGAGGAGAGGAGGAGGAGACCAGAGGAGGGGGAACACAAGGTGAGGGGGGACCAGAGGAGTGAGAGGGGGGTGTGTGTCGGGGGGGGGGGGGGGGGGGGTTGGTTGGTTACGTTGTTGGATTGCTATGATGTGTACATGAGATTTTAAGTGGAAGTAGGAGTGCAAAAATCAGTTGTTCTTGAAGTGCTCATAAAATCTCCCCATCTGTGAACAATAACAATATTCACTGTTGACTGAGCGTGTGTCTTTATGTGACACAACCAGCACAGTAGGAGATGATAAGAGTACTTGACAAGGTTTTACATGGAATCTGGGATTGTTTCAATCTTGCAGGAAGAGGTGATCGAGGACCTGACCTCGGAGGACATGCCGGTAGTTGGAGCGCGGAAACAGCAAGTGGAGCAGGGCATCTTCTCCACAGACAGTGAGTATGACACACGGGGCACTTGGGGCTTTCCTCCAATGGTAGCCTAGAGGTTAAAGCGTTCATTTGTCACTCTGAAGACCTGCGCTCGATTCCCAACATGGGTACAATGTGTGAAACCCATTTCTGGTGTCCCCGCGTGATATTGCTGGAATATTGGCAAAAGCAGAGTAAAATCAAACTTAGTCACTCACTCCAATGTTAAGATACTGATATCTGATCTATGGAGCAAAATGGTATTGAAATATTCACATATTGCTGAATGTCACATCACGTAACTTTAATGTTATATTTGCAGAATTTCAAGAGGATGCAAGCACCCGACTTTTCATCACAGAAATGAGTAAGTTGATTGAAGCCTCCCTATCTCAACCATCAACCCCAATTATGACAAAAGACTCTACATGACACCAGCAAACATAATATATCCAAATATGCCAAATATCATAGTGTTTAGCAGCATCAACATTCATAATGATAACGCTTGTTGACAAACATTCTGACGGTCATTTCTATTTGAATACAAGAGGTGTGTCTGTATTAGACCATTAGGTGTTCGAGTTAATCAGGGTTTAACTGCAGCAGTTTGACCTCACTGTAACAGTGTGTGTGTCAGTCTTAATCTGATTGGAAATGAAACATTATTGAATCTACTCTGCCCTGTTTGTGACACTGACTTCGTCTCTCCTCCAGATGATGCAGATAATCAAGCTGAAGCAACTGATGTAAGGGACACCCCCAGGCTGGGCTGTGTATCCTGTGTTAGAACAGTCCAGTGCTCTAGTGCAGGCAGGACCCATGAAGATCCGGGTTACAGCTGGTCGTCAGGAACCCATGCTTGTCGTAAGAGGCGACTAACGGGATCGGGTGGTCAGGGTCGCTTGGTTGATGCATGTCATCGTATACAAACTGCGTAGATCGAAGCTCATGATGTCAATCACTTGATTGTCTGGTCCAGACTCGATTACAGACCGCCATCATATAGTTTGAATATTGCTGAGTGCGGCGTTGAACAACAAACAAACAAATAAACAAAACATGAAATACAATGTGACTATGTGGTCAGGTTCACTGACCTGGCTGATGCATGTCTTCGTACCCTGACGCAACCAATGGTTTGTCTGGTCCAGACTTGGCTATCAGATAGCAGGATATTCCTGATATGGCAACACAGCAAACAGACAACTGTCAGTCATGTCAATGTATATTTACGTTTGTGTTACCGAATGATTTCATGCTCAAACATTCTGAAAAGCAGCACAAATGTACAAGTGAAAATGTTTCAAAGACTACGGTCTCATTCACCATCTGCTCTGCTTTCTTAGTCAAGTTGGATATGTAATCAGTAATCACAAAAGTTTTCATCAGGCATGTTTCCTTTTGTAGGATCTCCCCGACCTTGAGGATGTGGATGTGACCGACCTTGTACCCGACGATGTAGAAAAGGTGACAAATATAACTATCAAACCAGAATCCTACTCAATCAGTTGCAGAACGAATTGGAAGAAACATCGCCAAAGAAGTTGTTATCCATAAATTGTGTCTGCTTTGTCTCTGTGTGTTGGACACTACCTGACTTGGGAATAGCAGGTTCCTTCCTGTTTCAAAATCCTTGGTCAACCTCCTGGATGACATCACTGCCAGGTCTCCTCCACTGGGGATTCCAGGGATTTATCTGGGATCCAAACTAAACTAACTGCCCTTGGCAAGCAAACTGGGACAACATTGTGATATTGTTCAAAGTTTGATTATTTTAATGTTTCTATTTACATAAATTCTGAGAAATTGGAAAATGTTTCATTCAAATTTTTAGTATCATTTGCTGCAGGTCAAGATAAATCCTTGGTCTGAACAGATACCATGGCATACATACACACACACACTTCCTGAGTTGAGCTGACTGGTTGTAACTGTCGGGTGTTTAACTGGTCTGTCTTTGTTTCAGTCATACAAGCCAAAGATTGAGATTCTCAATGACGATGATGAATGTGCAAACTTGGAAGAAGTGAGAGCAGGGTTACCTCCCCTTGTGACAGAACTTCCCAAGTCGAATCCAAAGAAAGTGTTGATAGAGGAGATTCCAGACACACGCGAGGAGATAACTCGTGACCATGCTGTTGAATCTGATGCCGTCTCCCTTGACCAGGTGATCCCAAACTTTGGGGTGTCTGAGCACCAGGAAACACAACTGACGGCCGACTTACTGGCGGGGGTGGGAAAGATGTTTAGCTCACCTGGTGATGTCCTGCTGGGAGGCGATGGCGACACTCAGACAGAGGAAACAGACACGACCGATCCTCGCATTGTATCAGGGAGCATATTTGAAGAGCTAGACTGAAGAGAACTGTGATCGAGACGATAGCTTCCCCCTCACCCCCCACTGTTACCTCTCCCCTAGCCAACATTGCCCGACTCACCTACTGGCCATCTCATCCATTAACACCTGTAGGGGGAATTCATTGACAAAATTGTGTCTAAGCATCTCCACAAAACTACAAACCTCTAACTGCCATGTCCTTGTGACAGTCCTACTTGTTACATGGCACAAAGGGTAAATTACTGTCCTCTTTGGCTTCCGGCCTGGTCGCACCCAGGTGGCACGACAGCTGCCAGCATTGCACAGGTGCTAATAACGTGGATTACACAACTACTGAAGCCAGCATTGACTAACTGCTGAAGGGAGAAGCGGACCAGGGGCTGGGTTGTTGCTGGATCGTCTTCTCAACAACTGAGGATTGTTCATACCAGTCTCCACTGTGGGGTTGTTTCCGTCCAATAAACAAGGATCTCTTTGGGGGCAGTTCAGAAGTTCAGTGTTGGACAAACAATGCAGGATTCATTAAGTTTTGAGATCAATCTCCCAATATTCAAAGAGCTTCTTTTGTCAAATGAATCCTGATACACCTCTGGTGCAGCAGAGCTTCTGAATGTGTCTTTATATCCCTATGATTGAGATGCTGTTTTCAACAGGAACTGAAACTAATGTCCAACAAAACCTTTTGAACTGCTCCTTACAAAAGATCCCATTACCATGGTAACATAATTGTTGTCATGCTTGGTGCATTACAATATACTTTTACAGCATTAACATTGTGACATACAAGTTTGGAAGAATTTCATCATTCAATTTCACCAGCTTTCATCAATTATTACAATTCCAAACTTTGTGTTTGTTAATACATTTACACTGAAGTTATGTATATATATGAATGATTAAAAGGTTAATGAAATGGGTGGTGTTTAAGTGTTCGTGTTTCCAAGTGTAGCCCATGTGTCTCCTGCTGTTTAATGGAATGAGTTTTTCAGTTATACCCTAGTTTCATGTGGAAGGAGAACTTGAATTAATGCAGGTCATAGCATAGCCACAGATACACAAGACAGCATATGTGAGTAAGGCAACTTATGGGTGACAAATCACATTTTCGGAACACTAAAATACAATTCACAAGCAATTCGTATTTGGTATAGAGATACATGGTATCAAAGATTTGGACTAATTTTCCAATTCATAACTGTTTATACTGTGGTAGAGTTTAGTTTTAGTCCAATAATCCTTGTAATGATAACAAAGCAAAACCCCTAAAAATGGCAAGGACTACAGGACCAAGTTCTACACAGTTATATATTGCAGGTTTTAGCCTGACTAATAGAAGTAGACACGTATGCTGAAAGGTTTTGAAATGTTTTTATTACGTTACAAACTAATGAGAGAAAAATAAGATATTTTTTTAGAGTCTGCTCACATGGCGATCTTCACTGAAGTAAGTTGACGTCAAACATCTTTTTGACGTCATAGCACAATGGTATTCTCGCACCCATAAGGTCCCTTTTCTCCTGGTGGGTCACAATATGGACTACATATTCTGAATATGAACATATCAATCAACAGACAGATATTTAATAACATTTTATTTACTTATAGTTTGGTTACATGAGCGTCCTACTGAAAGTAGAAATGTCACAGCCTCATTTGATCAACATAGGATACAAGTCATACACATATAGTTACCATAGTAACAGTTGCCATGGTTACGCATCTTCCAACACAGAATACACTCAAACCAACTTGGAATGTTCACGTTAAACAATCAGTCAAAGAATGCAGAGAGAGAATGTTCCCACAGTATGAACAGAGACCTAATTCTCCATCCTTGCTTCAACAGCATTACAGGGGGTGAGCTACATGAACGTTTACTGGGACTAATGTGTCAGCACAATTACAAAATACTAGACACTGACCAGCAGGAAACTTCCCTTACTTATTATTACCTTATATACAACCCACTGGTCACACTATGCTCTGGTATAACCAGTCTGTACACTGATCACACTGTATACTGATCACAACATTCAGTAGCAGAATCTAAATTATCTTGGAACCGATTCAATTCTTGAGGAGATTCCTTGAGTAAATGAGGTGGACTCTCACTACTTGACCTATACTCACTATGCATACTCCCTACAGGGGGCTTCACAGTGCTTCTCTTACCTCACCGTGCACAATGTATGGAAGGGCATCTAATTGTCGGAAATCCTACGTATGTTATTTGACATCAATCTTTCATACTAACAGTTTGGACAGGAAACCAAAGACATTTTGGACTTAAAATCATATAAACAGAATAAAAGGACAAAGTACAAACATGGTTAAAATACAACATTAACATGGCTTCTGTGGAGGTCATATTGCAAGAAAACTCACTGTCTTTGTTTGTTCATGAGCACTCTGACAGATACACTGTTACAACATGTTCTAAATGTCTTATACATGTTAATACTTGATGTACAAAGCAATTGCTCAATGTTTTTTCTCATATTCATTTTCATCATGCTTTTTTGTATGTCATAAACCCTATAATTGACATCTATTACAATGATTAGAGTTGACTAGATGTGTGATGAAGATTTTCACAATATACACAAATGAAATCATATGATTAAATTGACAGATTTTGATTTTCATTATAACTGTAATTTTCTAATCCATGAAAGAACAGATATACTAGAATACCCTTTACCAACAAAGCATGTTGTGTTTATGACATCTTTTTCAATTTGTGGTCAACATGTTTAAAATAACGAGGAGTGATAAGCAAATCAACAATTTATCATCTAAAACTGATAAAATCTTGCATTTCCATTACTAAATATCCAAGACAGCACAAAGCTTCAATGTTCCTTTCTAAAATCTCAGATAACAAGTACTAACAACCTAAAAGACCGTGACAACGTTGAGTGAATTCCATATCACATTTGTCGGAGTTATAGCAGAACCTACATATCACAATGTGTTGACAACTCCAGACACTGGATACCTCCCACAAAAACCAGACCTTCCAACACCTTCTACTCATCATCTGTAACTAGAGTGACCTCCCTTTCCCAAAATGGCCACCCTCATTGAGTCTTTGTAACATGAGTCACGGTAGATGCTTCAACGCTAAGCCTTATATTCAATGTGAAAGTCTGCAAATGTTACAGTCTGTAATTGTGAAAGTCTGGTTTGGGCAGGTATCTCAATATTAGATATGTTTCTCCTGGTTACGTGAAAGCCACCATGATGTATATGAACCCCCTTCTTGACGGTGTTCCATGGATGACTCTGTCTACACTAGCTGTCTGCGATCAGTGGGTGTCGATGAGGTCGAGGTTGATGCGGTAGTAGACGTAGGGGTAGTAGTCGGTGCTGCCCATGTTCAGGCCGGGTATATCCACACCCTGTTAGTATAAAGGAGAAGGGTTATAAATGTACACAGGGCATAGATTGGAGTAAAGCTGACTTGTATAGGAACAGTGCATTCTCATAGGGCAGCAAAGTACCATAGGAAAGAGCGGATTCTCATAGGGCCAAGTGAATTCTCAAAGTGGCTGAGTGGATTCTCCTCGGGGGAGTGGATTCTCAAAGGGGCTGAGTGGATTCTCATAGGGGCTGATCGGATTCTCATAGGGGCTGAGTGGATTCTCAAAGAGGGGAGTGGATTCTCATAGGGACACATTGGATTATCCTTTGTGGTGGATGGATGAGTTGGGTTTAATGCCTTATTACAGTATCCAACTTCAATCAAAGTGTGTCAGCTTAATGTTGGAGGAAAGCCCTAAGTAGTGCAGGCCTTTTACCAGCAGATTCTCTTAGGGCCTGAGTAGATTCTCTTAGGGCTCGAGTGGATTCTTGTAGGGCAGGGTGAAGCTAGGGCATGTCCTTATTCAATGTAAGCTCCTCATCTGCAGAGATCAACAGGAACTCCTCCCCACAACAAGAAACACAATCCTAACACTGGGCTCTCAGACATTCCCTGAAAACTCATAACCTTCTGAAGGCCATTTAGAACTACTACTCTACACTACTAACATCGGAACCCGTGAAGATCCGGGGTAGAATAGGTCTTCAGCAACCCATACTTGCCATTAAAGGCGACTATGCTTGTCGTAAGAGGCGACTAACGGGATCGGCTGGTCAGACTCACTGACTTAGTTGATGCATGTCATTGTGTCCCAATTGCGTGGATCAATGCTCATTATGTCAATCACTGGATTGTCTGGTCCAGACATGATTATTTACAGACCGCTGTGATATAGCTGGAATATTGCTGAGAGCGGTGTTAAACAACAAACAAACCAAACTTACATCGGCTGCCCCCGCCAGTGTGGTGTTGTCTAGATGGCTGTACAGCTGCCCCAGCAGTTCCCGGAGCCGCTTCACTGAGCGCTTCTGTGGCTGGAGGATCATGGCCTGGAAGTTGACTGGAAGACCGTACCTGAAGAGATGTCACACACACATCAGTGTCTGCCGCAGACAAACAGGGCCTCCGCCCATATATAGATATTACATACACACCAGTGTCTGCCGCAGACAAACAGGGCCTCCGCCCATATATAGACATCACACATACACACCAGTGTCTGCCGCAGACAAACAGGGCCTCCGCCCATATATAGACATCACACATACACACCAGTGTCTGCCGCAGACAAACAGGGCCTCCGCCCATATATAGACATCACACATACACACCAGTGTCTGCCGCAGACAAACAGGGCCTCCGCCCATATATAGACATCACACATACACACCAGTGTCTGCCGCAGACAAACAGGGCCTCCGCCCATATATAGATATCACACACACACATCAGTGTCTGCCGCAGACAAACAGGGCCTCCGCCCATATATAGATATCACATACACGTCAGTGTCTGCTGCAGACAAGCAGGGCCTCCGCCCATATATAGACATCACACATACACACCAGTGTCTGCTGCAGACAAGCAGGGCCTCCGCCCATATATAGATATCACATACACACCAGTGTCTGCTGCAGACAAACAGGGTCTCCGCCCATATATAGATATCACATACACACCAGTGTCTGCTGCAGACAAACAGGGTCTCCACCCATATATAGATATCACATACACGTCAGTGTCTGCTGCAGACAAACAGGGTCTCCGCCCATATATAGATATCACATACACACCAGTGTCTGCTGCAGACAAACAGGGCCTCCGCCCATATATAGATATCACATACACACCAGTGTCTGCCGCAGACAAACAGGGCCTCCGCCCATATATAGACATCACACATACACACCAGTGTCTGCCGCAGACAAACAGGGCCTCCGCCCATATATAGATATCACACACACACATCAGTGTCTGCCGCAGACAAACAGGGCCTCCGCCCATATATAGATATCACATACACGTCAGTGTCTGCTGCAGACAAGCAGGGCCTCCGCCCATATATAGACATCACACATACACACCAGTGTCTGCTGCAGACAAGCAGGGCCTCCGCCCATATATAGATATCACATACACACCAGTGTCTGCTGCAGACAAACAGGGTCTCCGCCCATATATAGATATCACATACACGTCAGTGTCTGCTGCAGACAAACAGGGTCTCCACCCATATATAGATATCACACATACACACCAGTGTCTGCTGCAGACAAGCAGGGCCTCCGCCCATATATAGATATCACATACACACCAGTGTCTGCTGCAGACAAACAGGGTCTCCGCCCATATATAGATATCACATACACACCAGTGTCTGCTGCAGACAAACAGGGTCTCCGCCCATATATAGATATCACATACACGTCAGTGTCTGCTGCAGACAAGCAGGGTCTCCGCCCATATATAGATATCACATACACACCAGTGTCTGCTGCAGACAAACAGGGCCTCCGCCCATATATAGATATCACATACACACCAGTGTCTGCCGCAGACAAACAGGGCCTCCGCCCATATATAGATATTACATACACGTCAGTGTCTGCTGCAGACAAACAGGGTCTCCGCCCATATATAGATATCACATACACGTCAGTGTCTGCTGCAGACAAACAGGGTCTCCGCCCATATATAGATATCACACACACACCAGTGTCTGCTGCAGACAAACAGGGTCTCCGCCCATATATAGATATCACATACACGTCAGTGTCTGCTGCAGACAAACAGGGCCTCCGCCCATATATAGATATCACATACACACCAGTGTCTGCTGCAGACAAACAGGGTCTCCGCCCATATATAGATATCACATACACACCAGTGTCTGCTGCAGACAAACAGGGTCTCCGCCCATATATAGATATCACATACACACCAGTGTCTGCTGCAGACAAACAGGGTCTCCACCCATATATAGATATCACATACACGTCAGTGTCTGCTAAAGACAAACAGGGTCTCCGCCCATATATAGATATCACACATACACACCAGTGTCTGCTGCAGACAAGCAGGGCCTCCGCCCATATATAGATATCACACATACACACCAGTGTCTGCCGCAGACAAACAGGGTCTCCGCCCATATATAGATATCACATACACACCAGTGTCTGCTGCAGACAAACAGGGTCTCCGCCCATATATAGATATTACATACACGTCAGTGTCTGCTGCAGACAAACAGGGCCTCCGCCCATATATAGACATCACACATACACACCAGTGTCTGCTGCAGACAAACAGGGCCTCCGCCCATATATAGATATCACACATACACACCAGTGTCTGCTGCAGACAAACAGGGTCTCCGCCCATATATAGATATTACATACACGTCAGTGTCTGCTGCAGACAAACAGGGCCTCCGCCCATATATAGACATCACACATACACACCAGTGTCTGCTGCAGACAAACAGGGCCTCCGCCCATATATAGACATCACACATACACACATGGGTGAAACATGACCAATGTGATCAGTATCCTGGCACACCTAAGGGATGCAACTCTGCACTGCAAATTGCACAACCTCAGATGCCAATGCCCTTTTTTGAAAATGAACTATTATTAAAACCTTGAATAAAAGTTTTAATTTATTCCGAAATGGTTATCTCATGCATGAATACACAGAACTTGATTTGATTTGTGATCAATTTGCCAAACGTAGGAAAAAACATTTTCAAAGTTGTTTGGTTTACAAGACACTCTTTTGTGCACAGCTCAAAGGGTCAGTGACATAACAAACTTGTTTCCGTGTCTAGATATCCAAAGATGTGAACTAACTAATTGTCCACCATGAACTGAATTCTGACATGTAGTCAGCCATCTTACCTCAACACTGACTCGACAAACACCCTGAGGGCCTTGACATGAATCCAGGCTGCAAAACACTCGCCGAAGTTCACCTTCAGCCATTTCACAAGGGGGCCCTGGGCACAAATAACCAGCATGGTAATCCTAGGATCATGTATTACATATTATCTGAAACTAGGAAATTGCAGGGACGTGAAATATATGCGGAAAAACAGTCGGAAAAAATTATGTCCGCCGTAAATTGATAATGAAAGATTTAAAAGAAAATATTATCGTGTTTCGGACATTTGACCGATGCTAAGCAAGGCGTCATAATTTTATGGTTAAAAAGTAAATAGTAAGGATTGTTTTAATGACCAATGAAATGCTCTCATAAATAGGAACTACTTTTAGTCTGTCTCAACGGTGTCCAGAGTAAGATCATGAAGATTGTTTCAGGATGAGACGAGCAGAATGAGACGAGTAGACTGCAATGTACTCACAAACTGCTTCTTCTTGTCCGCCTCCAGCTTGGTGATCTCCGTTTGTCCCGCAGCGATCTCCTCCTCACTGTACTGGAAGTCACGCACGATGAACCTGCACCGACATCACACGTCAGATCACACATCAGCATACCACATCACACATCAGCTTACCTATATCACACGTCAGCTTACCTATATCACATGTAAGCTTACCTACATCACACATCAGCATACCACATCACACGTCAGCTTACCACATCACACGTCCGCTTACCCACATCACACATGATCTTACCGACATCACACATTAGCTTACAGACATCACACATCAGCTTACCAACATCACACATCAGCTTACCTACATCACACATCAGCTTACCAACATCACACATCAGCTTACCGACATCACACATCAGCTTACCGACATCACACATCAGCTTACCGACATCACACATCAGCTTACCGACATCACACATCAGCTTGCCGACATCACACATCAGCTTACCGACATCACACATCAGCTTACAGACATCACACGTCAGCTTACCAAATAATTTTGTGACCTGTCCACAACAAACTCACTTGTTCTCCCGACAGTGATGCTTGAACTCATCAGCAACTCGCCGGAAGAGTGTCACCGAGCACAGGGCATTCTCCCCATCATCGAAGAGGACCCTGAAACACGAAGACAATGGAACCATTCTACATGTGACAGGGGTGAGGCAACTTCAAGCCCCTCACAATCAATGTTGTTTACGGGACATGTGTTATGGTGTAAGTCAATCTAACAGTCACTTATTACCCTACTTACACAGAAACAGTACCATGCTGGGCCTATCTATGTACACGAACACTGGGCCTATCTATGTACACAAACACTGGGCCTGTCAACCTACACGAACACTGGGCCTATCTACGTACCGGACACTTGGCCTGTCGACCTACACAAACACTGGCCCTATCTACGCACAGGAACACTGGGCCTGTCGACCTACACGCACGCTGGGCCTATCTACCTACATGAACCCTGGGCCTGTTGACCTACACACACGCTGGGCCTATCTATGTACACGAACACTGGGCCTGTCGACCTACATGCACGCTTGGCCTATCTACGTAAACGAACACTGGGCCTGTCGACCTACACGCACGCTGGGCCTGTCGACCTACACGCACGCTGGGCCTATCTACCTACACGAATGCCGGGCCTATCTATGTATACGAACACTGGGCCTGTCGACCTACACGCATGCTGGGCATATCTACGTAAACGAACACTGGGCCTGTTGACCTACACGCACGCTTGGCCTATCTATATACAACGAACACTGGGCCTGTCGACCTACACAAACACTGGGCCTATCTACGTACAGGAACACTGGGCCTGTTGACCTACACGCACGCTGGCCCTGTCTACGTACATGAACACTGGGCCTGTCGACCTACACGCACGCCGGGCGAGTTGACCTACACGCACTGTTGACCTACACACGCGATGGGTTCCTCATAGTTCCTCAGCGGAACACAATGGTGGAGCACTTTGCCACATTACCTGCTGTCTAAGTATGGAACGGTTCTACAAGTCACAGACATTGGGGTCTGACATATTAACCACAGCTAGCACCTGACACAGAATGCCACTAATTGAGGACATGACATTATTTGCCAACTCACTTTGATGATCGAGGGACCACCATGTCCGTCAGCTTCTCGTATTTCCCCATCCACTCATTCACGTTGTTCCTGAAACATGAGATATCAATAACAATGAGGTAACAATAACCCAGCACTACTACCCTTAATAACATCAATGACAGCACACCTACCCTTAACATCGGCTACAGCACACCTACCCTTAATAACAGTGACAGCACACATACCCTTAATAACATCAGCAACAGCACAACTACCCTTAATAACATCTGAGACAGCACACCTACCCTTAATAACATCAGCGACAGCACACCTACCCTTAATAACATCAGTGACAGCACACCTACCCTTAACATCAGTGACAGCACACCTACCCTTAATAACATCGGCCACAGCACACCTACCCTTAATAACATCGGCCACAGCACACCTACCCTTAATAACATCAGCGTCAGCCCACCCACCCTCAATAACATCAGCGACAGCACACCCACCCTTAATAACATCTGTGACAGCACACCTACCCTTAACATCAGTGACAGCACACCTACCCTTAATAACATCAGTGACAGCACACCTACCCTTAATAACATCAGCAACAGCACACCTACCCTTAATAACATCTGAGACAGCACACCTACCCTTAATAACATCAGCGACAGCACACCTACCCTTAATAACATCAGTGACAGCACACCTACCCTTAACATCAGTGACAGCACACCTACCCTTAATAACATCGGCCACAGCACACCTACCCTTAATAACATCAGCGACAGCCCACCCACCCTCAATAACATCAGCGACAGCACACCCACCCTTAATAACATCTGTGACAGCACACCTACCCTTAACATCTGTGACAGCACGCCTACCCTTAATAACATCAGTGACAGCACACCCACCCTTAATAACATCTGTGACAGCACGCCTACCCTTAATAACATCAGTGACAGCACACCTACCCTTAATAACATCAGTGACAGCACACCTACCCTTAACATCAGTGACAGCACACCTACCCTTAATAACATCAGCGACAGCCCACCCACCCTTAATAACATCAGCGACAGCACACCTACCCTTAATAACATCAGTGACAGCACACCTACCCTTCATAACATCAGTGACACACACCTACCCTTCATAACACCAGTGACACACACCTACCCTTCATAACATCTGTGACAGCACACCCACCCTTAATAACATCAGCGACAGCACACCTACCCTTAATAACATCTGTGACAGCACACCAACCCTTAATTACATCATCGACAGCCCACCTACCCTTAATAACATCTGTGACAGCACACCCACCCTTAATAACATCGGCAACAGCCCACCTACCCTTAATAACATCAGCGACAGCCCACCCACGCTTAATAACATCAGCAACAGCACACCCACCCTTAATAACATCTGTGACAGCACACCTACCCTTAACATCAGTGACAGCACACCTACCCTTAATAACATCTGTGACAGCACACCTACCTTCACACAGCTTTCCATACATTCAGCTTAGCAACTTACACAATGGTAATCTGAGCTCTGGAATGTTATCTGAGCTCTGGAATGTTATCTGATCTGTGGAATGGTAGTCTGAGCTGTGGAATGGTAGTCTGAGCTGTGGAATGGTAATCTGAGCTGTGGAATGGTATCTGAGCTCTGGAATGGTAGTCTGAGCTATAGAATGTTATCTGAGCTGTGGAATGGTAATCTGAGCTGTGGAATGGTAATCTGAGCTGTGGAATGGTAATCTGAGCTGTGGAATGGTATCTGAGCTCTGGAATGGTAGTCTGAGCTGTAGAATGTTATCTGAGCTGTGGAATGGTAATCTGAGCTGTGGAATGTTATCTGAGCTGTGGAATGGTAATCTGAGCTGTGGAATGTTATCTGAGCTGTGGAATGGTAATCTGAGCTGTGGAATGTTATCTGAGCTGTGGAATGGTAATCTGAGCTGTGGCATGGTAATCTGAGCTGTGGAATGTTATCTGAGCTGTGGAATGGTATCTGAGCTGTGGAATGGTAATCTGAGCTGTGGAATGTTATCTGAGCTGTGGAATGGTATCTGAGCTGTGGAATGGTATCTGAGCTGTGGCATGGGAGTACGTCACCAGTTTACTGTAACATACAACCTACACTATGATGAGTAATCATAGCAAAAAGTTGTTCTTACTTTGGAATGACGACCAGTAAGGTGACGAGATATTCCGAGTCGAGTACAAAGTCCTGCTTCTTCACCAGATCTCCCATGTTGCGAGTCAGTAGACTGCCGCTGTCAACACAAACAGACACAACTAACATAAGTAAACAAACACAAGTCAACACAAAACTGTAAGCAAAACAGTTTCTGCATGCTTTTGACTGATAAACGATAAGTCTTGACTGATTTTGAATATTTCAGATTTTGCCTCGTAATGCATCATTTGGGCCCTATATCAACCAGTGAGAACAAAAACAGGGACATTTTCAACAAAGTGTCATATGTATGTTGACAGCTTACTCCTTACGAAACGAGGAGTGTTTTCAGTGCATGTTTACAACGCTGTTTTCTGTACTGGAAACCAGGGACCTGAAGACCACAGTGAAACATGCAGGTTTGTTTGTTGTTTAACGCCGCACTCAGCAATATTCCAGCTATATGACGGATATTCTATGCCGGATGTTCATGGGTAGAAGCATCATACCCGACATTACTGTTTTCTAGAGTGAGTGAGTGAGTGAATGAATGTTGCAGTCTTCAATATCCCAGCCATGTCACGGCAGCCTCAAAATAATCAAAGCAACCAGTGACTGACCGCCCGATATACAGATGCTTGATGGTCACAAAAGGAGGTAACTCACGTGGCCTTCCTCTCTAGACTTTGTAGGTTTCCCTTCAGGTTGTTGTAGGCGCTAGACTTGGTTTTCAGGTCAGACTCAATCTGATTTACTTGCTGTAATTAAGAGATCAGATGATCAGCACAGGGAAAAACCCTTCAAAGTCTTCCAGCAAAACATCAATCGAGAGAGTTGCTATGTGATCTCCAAAATGTCTCTTTTACCATTACACCAAGGACCCTGGAGTTTTACATTTACTCTTGAATGCCGACAGATATTCCATGGTATGGTTGACAATGAGGACATGGTTCACCACTCACCTTCCCGACGATGTCGGCGATGTTCTTGAGTGACTGTTTGATGGGGTACTTGGCCAGGTCCCACTGGAAGCGCTGCAGGTAGTTCCCTGGGGGAGCTGCAGGCATGAAACACACGAGTTGGACTTCGTGACGGACACAGTGTTCAATATACATGTGTTGGACTTCGTGACAGACACAGTGATCAATATACATGTGTTGGACTTCGTGACGGACACAGTGTTCAATATACATGTGTTGGACTTCGTGACGGACACAGTGATCAATATACATGTGTTGGACTTCGTGACGGACACAGTGTTCAATATACATGTGTTGGACTTCGTGACGGACACAGTGATCAATATACATGTGTTGGACTTCGTGACGGACACAGTGTTCAATATACATGTGTTGGACTTCGTGACGGATATACACGTGTTGGACTTCGTGACAGATATACATGTGTCGGACAAAGTGTTCAATATACATGTGTTGGGACACTGTGACGGACATACACGTGTTGGACTTCGTGACGGACACAGTGTTCAATATACATGTGTTGGACTTCGTGACGGACACAGTGTTCAATATACATGTGTTGGACTTCGTGACGGACACAGTGTTCAATATACATGTGTCGGACTTCGTGACGGACACAGTGTTCAATATACACGTGTTGGACTTCGTGACGGACACAGTGTTCAATATACATGTGTCGGACTTCGTGACGGACACAGTGTTCAATATACACGTGTTGGACTTCGTGACGGACACAGTGTTCAATATACATGTGTTGGACTTCGTGACGGATATACACGTGTTGGACTTCGTGACGGACACAGTGTTCACTATACACGTGTTGGACTTCGTGACGGACACAGTGTTCAATATACATGTGTTGGACTTCGTGACGGACACAGTGTTCAATATACATGTGTTGGACTTCGTGACGGACACAGTGTTCAATATACATGTGTTGGACTTCGTGACGGACACAGTGTTCAATATACATGTGTTGGACTTCGTGACGGACACAGTGTTCAATATACATGTGTCGGACTTCGTGACGGACACAGTGTTCAATATACACGTGTTGGACTTCGTGACGGACACAGTGTTCAATATACATGTGTCGGACTTCGTGACGGACACAGTGTTCAATATACACGTGTTGGACTTCGTGACGGACACAGTGTTCAATATACATGTGTTGGACTTCGTGACGGATATACACGAGTTGGACTTCGTGACGGACACAGTGTTCAATATACACGTGTTGGACTTCGTGACGGATATACACGTGTTGGACTTCGTGACAGATATACATGTGTCGGACAAAGTGTTCAATATACATGTGTTGGACTTCGTGACGGATATACATGTCGGACACAGTGTTCAATATACATGTGTTGGGACACTGTGACGGACATACACGTGTTGGACTTCGTGACAGATATACATGTGTCGGACAAAGTGTTCAATATACATGTGTTGGACTTCGTGACGGATATACATGTCGGACACAGTGTTCAATATACATGTGTTGGACTTCGTGACGGATATACATGTGACGGACACAGTGTTCAATATACATGTGTTGGACTTTGTGACGGATATACATGTGTCGGACACAGTGATCAATATACATGTGTTGGGACACTGTGACGGACATACACGTGTTGGACTTCGTGACGGATATACATGTGTCGGACACAGTGTTCAATATACATGTGTTGGACTTCGGGACAAATATACATGTGTCGGACACAGTGTTCAATATACATGTGTTGGACTTCGTGACGGATATACATGTGTCGTACACAGTGTTCAATATACATGTGTTGGACTTCGTGACGGATATACATGTGTCGGACACAGTGATCAATATACACGTGTTGGACTTCATGACGGATATACATGTGTCGGACACAGTGACGGATATACATGTGTTGGACTTCGTGACGGATATACATGTGTTGGACTTCGCGACGGATATACATGTGTCGGACACAGTGATCAATATACACGTGTTGGACTTCATGACGGATATACATGTGTCGGACACAGTGACGGATATACATGTGTTGGACTTCGTGACGGATATACATGTGTCGGACACAGTGATCAATATACACGTGTTGGGACTTCGTGACGGATATACCTGTGTCGGACACATTGATCAATATACATGTGTTGGGACACTGTGACGGACATACACTGTGACGGACATACACGTGTCGGACTTCGTGTCGGACTTCGTGACGGATATACATGTGTCGGACACAGTGTTCAACATACACGTGACAGACTTCGTGACGGATATACATGTGTCGGACACAGTGTTCAATATACATGTGTTGGGACACTGACGGACATACACGTGTTGGACAGAGTACAATAATCTGGATATCAATAACCGATGTGTAAGTACCGAAAGTGTCACAATTCATTGTTGAATCTATACTCAACACATTTACATGATGATGATACACCTACTGATGTATCATTTAATTAAGTTAATTCTGTATCAATTTTCAAACTTGATATTATAGTATAACCATGGCAACATGGGTACTTGGGCTGGTAGGGGTGGTATAACGTATCACTTGTCATGAAACAAACTGCTTATTACACATCAACTAATAGCACAGTTCTATTGGAATGAGCCTAAATTACCAACCATGTGAGTTCCAGTAAACAAATACACAACCCCTTGATGGCTTGGCCACATGAATATGGTGATCTTCACACAAAATAGCACATCATAACTCAAGCATCGTGATATGTATTGATATTTGAGGCAGGTACATGGTGACACCCATAGTATATACATGATAGAAAACATCAATACCATCATTGACTTTGAGATTTTCACGCAGTTTGTCTCTCTTATCTTCCAACACATCTCCCAAGTACTGCGCAACTTTTCGGGTGACGCTGGAAATAAAATGAACATGAAATGTTGTCAGATCTTCACACAGCCAGGTATCATTACAGATTAATAGATCAGATTTGAATGAGACTAACACCAGCCTTGTACAGAGTTCCAAACTAAGAGGGTACTTTCAGGTCCACTACTATAGTATTTGAATGTATAGAACTGCTAACACGTTAGGGTTTATGTCAATGTCCTCTTGATGCTTGTTCTATTTTTGAACACTGATTGTGCCTAATTTGAAAAGCTATTATTTACTAGCAAGCTCCCTGACCCTCTCACCTCTCACAGAAGACGTCCAATTTGCCGAGGTCATCCGACAGACCGACAAGAATGTCCAGAGTTCCAACCTACAGCAAGAAGAAACATTTGAATTTAACTTTCATTTGCACACATCATCCAAGTGACAAGAGAATCACCTGTCCATCTACCACATTTCAATGGACCGTTGATATCAAACATGTGATAAAAGTAAGATTAAATTGTTTACCTGAAAAAATAGGTCTGCTTGTAAACTTTTGCTATCACATGATCACCAACCATTGGACTGCTGATTAAATTTTATTGCAAAAATATAGTAACCTGCTTTACTAAATTGAGGCACACATCTGTGATTACCCAGTCCAAAAAAGAAAACATATTCATTTAAAGAAAATTGAAATATATAATAGAAAGGAAATCTTAGAAAGACCATAACATGAAGAAACACTGACACTGGCTAAGATTGTCATTCTGGCGATAATCAACACAAGGGAGCACCAGGCAACATGAACTGTCTGCCATAGTGAGCAGATGCTGTTTAATCATGCAGTCAGTAATTTGGTAATATCCAAGCTATGTCACAATGGCCTGTGAATAAACTGGACTCAGCAAACCAGGGATGTCCCAAAACATAACAAAAGGTTTCCCAATTTTCATTTTAGTTTTTTTCATACTTTCATCCACCATATTTGCCAGAATGTCCCTTCATGCTCATGACACCCTTCATTACCAGTGGGAGTACTAGTCCAAGCTTGTGAAGCTGGTAGCATGGATGTAGGCACCTTCTGTCAAGAGACAACTATCTACCTTTAGATCTGGAATCTGAAACTTGTAATTGTTGGAGAGTTTTTCTGGAGCTGTGTTGTTATTTAGGCGATCCCATGTCTGTTGCACAGTCTTCTCCCCTGGTGCCGAGATAAGCCAGAAGTCGGTTGACATTTTGCGATATTGGGAATGTAGCTATCTGAATGAGAGAAAAAAACTTTAGATAAAGATATAATGTTTATAGCATGCCAAATAATGGATATGCAAATTAAAATCAAAACCATAAAAACATTCATGTTGTGGTTCAACAAATATCTTCCCAGATGGCCCCTTGCCCAAAGCCTTCAATATTCTCAGAAAGAATGTTAGTCTCTTACAATATTTATCTGATAACTGATAATTTTTGCAAAGAAATCCAAACCATGGTGCAGAGAAACCTACAGGAGTCGTCCAGCTCTCTGGACAATATGGTGTTTAGTAAGGATAATAACCATATTAACAGTTCCACATTTGTCCTTATCGCAAAGTTAACAACATATGCTGGACAACCAGGTACAAATGTGTAAATTGACGCCATATGAACATGCTGAAGCTTTGCGTTTTCAAAAAAGTCCCGAAAAGAAACTCTTATTCATAACCACGAAAATAGATGAAGGCACTATGTCAGAGACCACGTGCGACTGTAAATGTTGTAATAAATAACGTCTTGTTACAAAATATCAAACTAATGTCGAAAACTACCAAAAGCTGTGATACGAGTGTTTATTTATTTCAGCACTCGTGACGTCTGTGTCCTCCGAAGGACAGGGTGATCTTCACGTTGACATCCGGCAATAACCTTACTTACGCTCTTCAGCTATCCTAGAAATATATATTCACTTATTGTGCGGCTAGCTAACGAAAGCTTTACCTGTAAAAATTGAAACAAAATAAGGTCACAGGCAGGAGTAGTCGGATATATCTTTAACACACGGTAACAACTCGTTTCACCGATTACTGCTGCCGGCCATATTTTGTTCACGTGACAATTTGTTATGATGAGTAAACTACTACGTGTACAACTACTAATATATTAAAAAACCGGCAAACGTCTGTCGCAATGAAATAAAGAAATTGTGAAGCAACAACATTGTATTCTTCAAACTGTAGAGCTTAATCAGCACAAGCAATGGCACGAACGCCCTTCTAGCTTAGCAGTTGTGCATTATCTGTTTAAACGTGGTCTTGCAATTTAAAATCAGTTTGAAAATCAATTTTTCAAACATAATCAATTCTGCTGCCTTGCAATTTATCAAATTTATTTTGGTTTAAATGTCGTGTTCTTTTCTGTCACCTTTAGAGATTACAGCGCTTTGGCAGGGGAAAGAAAGAAAACCTGAGACACCCCAACCGGCCTCAATCTATCACCTGTCTGTTGGTTTGTTGCGTTAGATAAAGTATTCACATCAATCTATTACATACATGTACGATACTTGCATATATTTCCACGGGTCTGGTTGTCCAAATGTCCAGGTGACCACAGCAGCTGGGGTTAACACGCTTGTGCATGTGGAGATTCCTTCATGGTTATATAGAGACACTGGTAATGTTTGCTTTATCAAGAGATGATAACAGTCTATTTAACATGCAGTCAAACCAAAAACAACCAACACCTTATATAATGAATGTATTTTTAACCGGCATGTCTTAAATAACCCGTGGGATGAAAGTTGCGACAAATCTGTGAGTCTAGCTCTTATCGTTACTTACATACATATTTTCTTACAACAATTGTTGGTGAACAACGGCGGGTTGATAAAGTGAATACACTGCAGTTTAGGCAATACACAATAAACAGGCAATCAGTCAAAACGGACCAGTCGGTCACACAGCCCCAGTAATCCTCAATTGTTTTACCAATCAACACGCTTCGTTGCCAGTTTGTTGGCCTAAATAATAAACAGAAGCGAGAAGTCACCAAACGGAGCGGTGAAACATCAGATTTAAAACAAAGATACCTTTCTAAGTTTTATACCGAATCTAATCTATATTTGAAGAAGAAGCTGAATATCATATTTAAGTGTCACATATTTCACGATACGATAAATCACATAAAAAGCAAACAGTACAATATCCAACCACAGGGCCTACGAGACACGAACATTCACTATTTACATTTCTTTAATATTTGAGCAATGTAACCTGCTGAAAACAGCCGATATGGGCTTAACATTATACTAATAAATGTAAATATGAATTAGTTCTAGTACACATGCACCTACAACGAGCAGAGTCGGTTGGGGGTAGTTGATGGACTAGTTATGTGCCGAGCGCTGGGATTGGTTTTCAGTTGTGCAATACCACTTACACTAATGAGACTAATTGTGTGCAGGCACACCTTGGACAACATGACACAGACAAGAAATCCGGTTATAACGTGATAATGATAATGACGTCATGTAGTGACGTCAATGTCTTACTAAACACCAGTGCTTATAGTTATCAATGCTAGAGTCAATAGATCCACGTGCTATGCTGTATATTGACGGGTGCGTTGTTGGATATAGGTGGCATGCTGCACAGAGAGAATATCTTTCATTGTCTTTATTTGCCAAATATCGTGTCCTGTGAGGTCCGTGGAAAAAAAAATATTGGTCCAAGCGTGAATTCTAGGGTTTCAGATGAAATATGTTAATTAGCCAAATCATTTAACTTAAGTTTCTTTAACAATAATAATAACAACTGCTATAACTGTTTCTTTTAACTCAAGAACCAAAACCATGACATAGTGTTGGAAGCCACCAAAGTCCTGTCCACCAACAACAACCATCTTCCCGAGGCAAGGGAGTTAACGGACTATAAAAGTGGAAACTGGACTTTTAAAGTCAGTTAACTCCCTTGCCTCGGGAAGATGACAACAACTGGCTACAAAGAAAACTACAAGAAGCCATTGACATCAGGAGACACCAGCCAGCCATGAACCGTGACCAGGGAACCTATCTGCCTAGTGCTTCCACTTGCCAATTGCTATTTCAGTTCTGTTACTTATCAGTGCTAACTACCCCGGCCTCCCATTGCCTATTGATAATTTAGTCCTGGCTTCCAGTTGTCCATAACTATCAGCGCTAATCACTGTAAAGTGTTGGCTTCCATTGTCTATTGCTAATCACCTATCAGCGCCATTATCTGTTGGCTTCCCTTGTGAAGTTTCCACCTTTTGTTATCTTATTACTTTTGTTGTTCTTACGTGTACATGCATATGTTCTCTGCCTCACAGCACACAGTCACCTGATGGAGGAGTAAGTGTCTACTCAGAAACGTTGTGTTCCTCATCATAAAGAAGTTGACCTTACATTCTCTTCCTTATGTTTCTTTTACGTTGATTAAAATAGTAATGTTAAGAAACGTGTGTGCATTTACATGTACGTTTGTGTCTTAAACTTGTTTTACACCAGCGACATGAAATATGCGAACGAACACTTCAACATGTCTTTACAAAACATGTCTATGTTAAAAAGAACAAACGGACGTACATTCATGGCTGCACGTGTGTTGACTGTCGCAAGCTGTGCGGATAGGTATACACCAGTATGCATTTGCGTTCAGGAAAAAGCACTTCTACATATCTGTTACTTATAGAGTGGTGCATGTGTGCGTTCGTGCGTGCGTGCATGTGTGTGCACATGCTCTATGTGTGATGCGTGTGTACATGTTACGTACGGTGTGTCGAAACGGCAAAAATGCACAAAGTCTAACAGTACAGGATATGTCGATAATGCACAATCACCATGCATAATGGTTTATGGCTTAATGCCGCTTAAACATATTTTTATTTTGACTATAAATCTGGATATGTAATCAAGACACCTCTTATTTTAATAACTACCCCTGTAATAAATCAAGTAACCAGAGATAGTCAAGGTATATAATTACACAATATATTCCTACATCTGATCCCTCTATACGAGGATATGCCAGTATGCTCGGAAACTCATCCTTACTTTTCCCAGTGAAGTGGATGGCCTAAAATGTATTATCTTAAATGCTTTCGTCAGATTTTGCTTATTTTTCAGTCGGTCGTCAGAAGACGTTGTTCTTTGCACATTGTGTATTGTTGTGGTGAGGAAAGTAGTACATGTAATATTTGTGCACTACGTCACAAAATTTACCGCCATCTCCATCTTTTTAGCAGACGAATATAAATCGCAGCCATGACAACAGATAGTGTAGGCAAAATTGATCAAATGTGCCACTGAACTCGAGTTATCATTATCTTTGTTGGTGAAAATGTGAAACTGCCATTGTTCTTGGAGCGCTGTATCATCTAGCGAAGCTGTAAGTTCAACATCCACGATATGATGCATGGAAAGGTGAACACCCCAGGATCACACCAGGAAATACCAAACCCTTGTTTGTGTGACATGACGAAATCAAACATCTCAAATTATTTTGATATTTGATTTAATCATTGCCAAGATATAGGGGTCCAAACGGTAAAGCCGAGACTGTCGTACTCCCCAAGTCAAGCTCTTGAGGATGCTACAAAACCAACAGTCTAACCAACAGTCTAACTAATGGGACGTCTAACTAATGGGATATAACCGTATTTTAAGTTCTGTAATCAGCTGGTGACGACCACGACCACGCTTCTCGCATCTAGTACTGTTTTAGGTCAATTCAGTTTGCAGTAATTGAAATTACACGTTTAATCAAACCCTAAATACTTCAATCTAAGTCATGTTGTTAATAATTGTACGTTCATCGATTTCTATTGTTAACAGACTAGATAATTTGGTAGTATGGGATAAATGATTCTTATCACTGTCACAGAAATTGGAAGTTTATGTTGGGATATAATGGCCTGAAACATCTGTGTGCTGTCTGCCTACATACATAACAGGGTTAGAAATTAGTTTCTATTTTCACTCATCTGCCTCTACGTAATGATAGCCAAATAGCAGACTTGCCCAGTCGGTTAGTCTGAGAGTGATCCAGGGTTTCATCCAAAATGTCCTGAAGATATTTTTCAAGTTGCTAATGATATTGAAGAATGTCCTTTCAAGAGTTGATAAAATCATGAAAATGTCTTCTTGCCATTGTCTACAGTAAAGTCACGAGAGACAATGTGGAAATGTAAAGGGACTAGTTGATTTCTTAGAATATCTAGCTGCTTTAATATAACACTACTCTGAAATGAGCTGTTCACAAGTAGATTACCCCTGTTTGTGATGATGTACCGGCCCATGTGTAAACCTTCATAATGGAATGCTCAGCATTGCTGGAACTAGTGGTAGTCATGGTACCTGAAATATTGGTTAATTTTGCTGAAGAAATAATTTGGAGTTGTACAGTGTTCAAAATGTTAACCCTAATGTTCAAAGGTAAAGATTTTGGGGTTTTCAAATGCTATAACAGCAAACCTCAGGATGCCAAGGTGCCTCTTAATGTAAAACACAGTGTGCAATGGAAAGATGCAGTTTATTGTAAGTCCTTGTCAACATATTTCTTGCAGTCAGCGCAAGAAACTAATATATTTGGTCCACTAGGCCTTGTTATGATAACATCTAGAGAAAACCTTATTAATGGCAAATTTCCACTTGTCTCTTATGATACCTTAACTATTGGGCAGTTTGGCAAGGACTATAGGACTAGTGCCTATTGCTAACGCTGGAGGTTGATAATCATTGATGATCATTGGTTCATGGAGTTCCCCCGTGCTTGTGTAATTAGTTGTATTTCTACTCGTGGCTTCATCAATATCGCTGCAGGACGGACAAGTCAGTTACCTGTAGACACGACAATGGGATGCGGCAAGAGTGTACCTGAGACGGGCCCAAGGAGAAGAAGCAGTACTGGTTTCTTGTTCAATCGACAGAAAGTCAGCATTCGTATTGGAAATGAAGTTAAATTACATGAAGATAAGCCACAAATAATATTTGTCTTTGGTAAGTGTTATACTTAACCTAATCTGTTGGTATCATAGTTTGGCCTGGTAGATTTGCAATGAAATTCATTTTTTTAATCTGATATGAAGAGTTTATTTTTTAAATAAAGATAATTTCACGTTTGGTTTCTCTTGCCCCAAAATGTGAAAAGTTAAAAGGTGCGAGATTGAAATTGTCTAGTTTGAAATCACAGAGTTTTGAGCTGTGATTTTCAAGGTTACTATAACTACAAGATTTGGACTAGATTGACTGGTTCTTTAAGGCTCAGACAAATAAGTTCATTAATCTCCAAGGCCAGTATTCATAAATGGAATGAAGACATTCCTAATAATAATGTTTTTGCTCTGCTATAATCTTGTTGCCTCTGCCGTACACATAGATTCAATCTTAGGCAACGGTATGTGATTGAAGAACATAGTGTATACAAACCATGAAGACGATAAGACTTTTAAAAATTCCAGATTTTGGACAAAATATGCCATTTATTTATCATGTTCACCTTCCGAGGCTATTTAGTTTTAAAAAAATCCTGAAATTATTTGAAATTTTGCTTGTATCTTTTTTAAGATTTGAAGATTGTTCCTTTGTGTATCTAATTACTGCCTATATCTGTTGAGTGAGTGAGTTTGATCTTACGCCGCTTTAAGCAATATTCAAGCAATATCTTGGTGGGGGACACCAGAAATGGGCTTCACGCATTGTGCCCATGTGTGGAATGGAACCCGGGTCTTCGGCGTGACTAGTGAACGCTTTAACCACTAGGCTGCCCGACCACCCTGATGGTATAGCCTATGCTTCATACTTTACATGCTGCTATGATATGGTGGGAACAAACAAACAAATAATGAAATAAAAACTGCCTATTTTGATATTTTCTCCAGGAGGTCCTGGCACAAAGAAGGGGAAGCTTGTGGAAGACCTCACCCAGACCTTTGGATTCAGATTGATAAATTTGGAAAAACTCATCCTGAAGGAGTTGGCCAAAGATCCTGATGAAGTTGGGGGATCAGCAACAATGGAAATCATTGACTATGTGAAGGTGAGCTATGTGATCTACAGGGACAGACATTTCGCAGGTGCTTGATTTGATATGCCTTTGTAATGCTAAAACAATGGGAAAATTGGGAAATTTGTACTAACCTGCAGGATTTTGTAGTAGCCCCAGGCTAGCAGGCTAGTGTTGATTTGTAACCCGGGTAATGGGGTCCTTGAGATTTGCTGCTATAGTAATTAAAACTAAGGACCCCTAAAGTTTTAACTTTTAACATTAGGCTTATGACAAGGACCACTTGACTTAATGTCACACTTAATTATGAACACTGATTGGCATATAAAGAATCTCACCTAAATGACATCAAATGAGTACAAAGATACAAGGGTGAGGTTATATTTATCATCCAAAATCCTTCTTCCAACCAGCTTCAGTGGCAGAGAGATAAGTGATGTCATTTGATTGTGATGTCATGGTATCAGATGATGTCACAATGGCCTGCAGGGCATTGTGATGTAATTTCCTTGTAATGATATCTCCTAGTAGATCAGCAGTTTAATAGTAGATAGATATTACTACACGACGTCATCCTATGTGCTGCTTACTTCTCATAAATAATGTGACCCTACACAAAAAGGTTTCCGTCATATCTGTGGATTATCAAGGCGATGATGAAAATGCAAACTAGACAAAAACAAAGAACACGCTGGGTGCCAAGTTGAAAGTTTACACCTCAAAGAAATTACCAAGTATGTACAACAATGTTTACTTCCGTATGACATCACTACCGGTGACCGACTTTTACGAAATGGCGTGTTCACTGACAACAGTACGCAGGATTTCCAGAGGAGGATTTTCGTTGATTGAGGGATCGTATACACATAAATGTTTCACATAAGTAATCAGAAACATTCTGATAATCTGCGTACTGTTATTTGTTTACCATGTTTTCCAATGTAACAAAGAGAATTAGTCAGAAATGTCATCGTTGTGCGTGTTTTAGCGTCAGTCATGGCGTCACACAGGACGGAAACTTTTACGGCTTCTGTTGAATTTACCACATCATTGTAATGTGTATATGTGTATTTCCATAATTAGTGCAACGATGCTCTTGCCATGAATATTCTCAAACGCGTGATGTATGCAACAATTAGACGAAAGTACCTCTAAAAATGCTACACAGTGTAAAATCTGAATTTTGCTTTGTTTACATTTCAGCAAGTACAGTTTTCCGAGCACAGTTTTCGTTTCCATACCTAATTTATTTCGCATGATTTCATCTAGATAATTTGCATTGGTTACAAAGACCATTTATCCATTGTTTCGAAAGTGTATGAGGAATTCAGGGATGCATGTTTAGCAGCTGAGTTTGAAATATACCTGATCGAATAGGCGTCTCATAACCGGCATTTTGTAAACACAATCCAATCCAATATGGCGGAACGTACACTTCGGCGTTCGTGTATGCGTTTTTTCCAAAACATTCTAAACGATTCTCGGCTTATCTGCGACGTTTCAGAATTATCATTAGTGATTTGATACCCATGATCGCTAATATGCTATTTTTCTACTTTAATTATTCGAGGAAATATCCGATATTTACATTTCTAAAGACACAATAAATATTTATATAACGTGAATATTGTGATTTGGCGAGAATTACAAGGTATCTTATTTTCAGAAGTCATTTTCAGTAATTTTGAATTGCCTAAAATGACAGTAAATGATAAACAGAAGGGGGAATTCAAAACTGTGCACATGAAGTGTATTAGTCTGCGTGATGTATTTTCAATTTTATTCGATTTCGAAGTGAGGGTTGACATATGTGTCGCTGTGGCATCCAGGGGGTTTACACTCTGAAAAAACGATAATGTTGACATAACAACAGATAATGTAACTGATAATAATATCAAACAAACTCGCAGACGAGGACGAGTTTGTTTATTTTTATTATTAATTACACGGTCCTGTTGTTCACTACAGGCGTAGGTGAACATTCGACTGAAGCACGAGCAACTTATGAATGACTTACACTCAGGAAAGTAGTCCGTCATCATCTGACCTCAGGTCATCACCATGGAGTAGCCAATCACGGGCCTGGAATTCGATCTCACACATATGTTTGATACCAGTTATCTCAAATGGGTTTCTCACCCACAGGTGTGTAAGAATAAGCAATCTTCAATCTCATCTCTACAACAGTCTGCAACTTGCACTGTATTTCACTTTTTTAGCCTAGAAACCTTGGCTTGTGACAGCCAATGTCAAAGGAGTAAAATCTATAAAAAAAAAGAAGTTCAAGCTAGACCCAACAGGTTTGGCAGGGATTGCTAGTCCGAAACCCAAGTCCAGTAAAAGTGTTTTTGATCTAATAAACTTTGCTATGACACCTTATGTATAAGGAGTGAAATGTACTGATAAGATTTGGAAGAAACAGTTCTGGCTAATACCGATAGTGTCACAATAGCAAACTCAAGGGCAGGGGTGGCCCAGACGTCTAAAGTGCCGCAATTCGCCGTGCAGAGTTATGTCCCTTGGTCACCCAAGAAACCCATGATTGGGGTTCGAATCCCTGTTTGCCTTGATTATGTTTCAAGGTTTTTCAGCACTGGCGCCATGCTCATGCTTGTGGATTTAATTTGACTAAAGTGGTAATCTTGTGAGACCTGCATCACATAGGGCTTTCCTCCCACATTAAGCTGACACTCTGTGATTAATGTAACTGGAATACAGTTCAAAGCAGCATAAACCCAACTCACTCACTCACTCACTCACTCACTCACTCACTCACTCACTCACTCACTCACTCACTCACTCACTCACTCACTCACTCACTCACTCACTCACTCACTCACTCACTCACTCACTGCTGTTTGTATCTCCCTCTGTGCCTTCTTTGCTCCAATAGTTAACCAGTGGCAGCGTTTACTGTAAACATTCTCTGGTGCTCTGACAGCTTGTGAAAAGTAGACCTGTTGAGCTATTGCAGCTCTCTTGTATTAGAAACAGCTCTCTTGTATTAGAAACATTTGATAGTCAGCCATACTGGCACGCACAGCAATCACACCACAATCAGTTTTCGAAATTAGGCATGAAAGTCAAGGGGTTATAGACCTCTAACGTCAAGATTAGAGATTACATTGAAATAACATTAGAGTAAACCACAAGGATAATCACATGACACAGTTGTTACCATTGACATGATACTAATCATAGACAGCCATGCTGCCTTCTTGATAGAGATTAATTCCTACAGAAAATCAAATCTATTTGGGAAATGTATGTATTCTTAAATCTTTGATGTTTGTTTTACCTTTGCATTGTACTTTTAAGCTAACAATGGTTTCAGAAGACATCACCTGTACATAATGCCTTGAAATAGAACTTGACAATTTATTTTCATGCCATTACAGGTGACTTTTCCTTCTTTTAGATGCATGTCTCATTTGTTTAGGCCAAAATTGTGGTTCCTATTACCTGAGCGACCCTTATCTGACGTGCTGACCATAACATGTTCAGTGGTACTCAGTGTTCGTCATAAAAGAAAGAACACACATGAAATATACATGTATACTGAACACTGCAACTTTCAGTAGCTCTCCGACATAGTTGCTGGTATTCCCCCCACCCCGACCCACCAAAACAACCCACCCACCTACCCATGCTGTTGTAAATGTAGTGTAAACGGAACCCAGTGTTCAATGTTGGTTCTTGAGGTTTTCCCCTACAGTATTTAAATCTTGGGATTCCCTAGATCTCTCACTTTGAACAATAGGGTCATAGAAAACAAATCCCTTGACTTACAAGCTTCAGCAGCGTTAGAAACAAACAGTTTTTGTCCACTAGTCCTTATAATGATCACATATAGCAAAACCCATAAAAAGGGCAAATTTCTACTAGTCCCTATGATACCTTAACTATTGGGCAATTTTGGCAAGGACCATAGGACTAGTGCCAATTTCTAGCGCTGGGCTTGATTGAGTTTGATGGGAATCACACTGGATTAAGTCGGATCTGTCTACATGTCTTCTGTCCATGGAGGACATCTACCAACAGGACAGATGGCTGGAATGTTTCGCAAACATAGTTCCAGTTACCATTTAGTTTATGAATAGAGTGGTTTGGGTCTCTCAGAGGAAAGTGTATTAATAATCAATGGTAATGGGATGCTGTTGTCAGGAGCATGTTCAAGTATTGATCTGATCATTGCGGCATTCCAATTAGATGCTATTGATGCTGGACATTATTTGTCCTTGTCAGTAACCTACATTGTCATCAGATGTTGCATAGCATGGAAACACTGGAAGTTAAGAAAGATTCTGATAGCTGAGCCATGCTAATCCCAAAGTGGCTTAAAGACATTTCCGTGCAGTTATGTTTATACTGCGCCTGATGAAATAGTCATTGATTTTGTGTTTGCTCTGGCACACTCTTTCCACTGATGTTCTTATAGCACAAAATCAGCGGTAGAAACTAACACTTTTGGTCCACTAGTCCTTTTTAATGATAATATATAGCAAAACCCTTAAAAATAGCAATTATCTACTAGTCCTTATGATACCTTAACTGTTGGGCAGTTGGGCAAGGACTATAGGACTAGTGCCAATTTCTAACCCTGGAAATTATCTTCATTCATATTTAGTTTGGGTTATTATAGCACAGAAACAAAATCTTTTTCTTTTTGAAAAGAAGTAGATTTAGTTTTGTTACAAGATACATTTTGTATTTCACCTTTAGGTCCTTCAGAAACAATTGGCAAGACAACCCATCCTAAACTTTGAAGAGATCTGTGCATGTCTATTTGTACGTGATGTATAATGATCAGACTTCAATCAGAGCTACCTCATTAAGCACTCTTACTAGTCTTAGAAGCAGTCAGCCTGCAGAATGTGGAAGAATGGTGGTTATATAATTTGTAAGGTTTTGACACCACAGGAAATGATGTCAGAGAATTTGCATTGCTGGTTAAACAGTTATTTTTCTCAGCACTTGCTAATTGATTAAGCCATAGGCAAATAATGAGGAGTATGACTTGTTTCATTTTTTTTTCAACATTGACGGACACTGCGCTGAATCCAAGAAGTCCACAATTCATTTCACTTCAGTTGTTTATTAGTGCTGGGATGATACACTGATGCATCGGTGGACAGTCTCATTAAAATCAGACCTCAGTTCTTGCTACCGCTAAACAAAGATCTGAGGACATTCCATTAGGGGTCACATCAGAACGACCTTTCATCCAACCAATCAGAGCATCGCTTACCAGATTATGAAAGTGACAGTCAGAATGTGATTTCTAATCATGCAACCTCGAACACTTTAACTCCGAACAATAGTTACGGGTTCAACGACTGAATCCATACAATCTAGACCATCTATTAGCCATTCCAGAATGTTCTTTTGTTTAGGTTTCATATTTGTAATCGAGAATTTGTCAAAATATGTTTCGAAGCGTAGTCGCCAATTTGAAATTAGTGCCATAAAGCACGAGAAAGCTGCCTTCTGATTAGTCATTCCATTGGTCGGTCAAAGTTCGTGCAAGGTCGGTCTGACGTGACCTGTAATGAGATGTCCTCAGATCTTTGTTTAGCGGTAGCGAGAACTAAGATCTGATTTTAATGAGATTGCATTGGTGGATAGCGATATTTTACTTCCCAATACTGGCGATACAAGTATCAATCACAGTCGCACACTAAGTAAAAAATATTGATTCTTACCTTAAATGTTTACTTTAATGGCTGTTACACCAAGCATTAATTAGTAGTGAAAATTAATAGAGAAAAAGTAATTATTTTCATCCATTGTGCCATACACTGCCAGCTGTATATCGTTTGTGTGCCAGGTATATACTATTCTGTCTATGAAAAAGATGGCTTATGCACCACAGATAAGAGCACATACAAGTATCCTGATACATATCAGATCGTGAACAAGGTATCCTGATACATATCAGCTGGCATAGTTGGTGTATTGTTTATATATTACAACACTTTGGGAGAAAACTTTCACTTGTGTTAGATTGGCAAAAAGTGGCTGTGTCAAGTCCTGCTGAAATGATACCATTTAGGATTTTTAATATTCAATTTATGATACATATATTCATTTTCTGAGAAACAAGGTTTGTTTCAAGGCATCAGTAGCGGTAATTTGATTGTGGTTGGCGTGTAGGTAATGGTGTGTTGGTGCTATCTGCAGATCTGTCCAAACTCTTTCACCGAAATTAAAGTCAAGAATAAAAAATGCACTGGCCACATTGTATGACACAGTATTGTAATCAAGGGACCTAATGGCAGATTTCACTGCAGATTGGTTGACATTTCTGGTATTATGTGCCAACAGTAATATTTTGACTTTGGGGAAGGAAGTGAAGACTAAGTGTCTGCATGTATGTCATATATGTTTCACCTGAAACAGCAGATTGCGATGTGTCACTAGTTGGATCACTCGTCATGCTTCTGTTGTCTATCATGTGCAGGAGAGCCCGGAGAAGATCACGCTGCGATGGGCCCTGAATGAAATCAAGAAGGAGGTGGAGGCAGATAAGCAGGGCAGCTATGTCATCGATCTGATGCCGAATCTCAGGGGGCTTGTCCGCAGCGCTGGCCTTGTCAAGGACCCCACCTTTGAACTGAAGAACTTTGAGACATTTGTAAGTTGTCATCGTGCAAGGTAGTGTGATTGTCTGATGTTAAGAAGGTTCTATGCTTGAGAATTTTAGGGTGTTGGCGGGTTGAAGTCCTTCAGAACCTGCTTTGTTTGCCTTACTTGTGTTGTAGATGTCCATCTGCCAGGTATTATTATAAACATACTATACAGAGACAATGTCTCAATTTCAAACACAACAATGATTACAATGTCTAATCTAAACCTTGACATATTCAATGATTTATCCAAATTTAAGTTTTTGACAATTCATATATAAAGTTAAACATAGGTCAGTTTGATTATAATCCAAATCAATCCATACTGACAAAATCAAATCCACTAAATTTAAAGAAAAACATTTTTCAACTTATCCTATCTCACTCTATGCATTTTTTCCTTGTTCTTTCGATCCTTATGTGGAAACGTGCTTGAATAAAGTTTCCAGCTTCTAAAAACATTTTGCCCGAACACATCCCAGCATCACCATGGTCACCACCCAAGCAGATGGGTCACAGCACTGTAATCCTGTGCGTTGTGACCCAACACCAACTCATCACCTGATTACCCTGCCACATGACATGGATTGAGTTCTGCAGAGCTACCTCCTCATTCGTAACAACATCTACAACACTAATTGAAGATGAGGATCATGATAAGGCTGAAAAAAAGAAAGATTCTCAGGCAGTAGCTCTTGAAAATATCGTGGACTTATGTTTGTAATCTGTTTTAGATATTTTATTCAACATTTCATTCAATATTGTTTCAATTATGGTTATTTACTTATTAATTTATTTAAGATATATATAGTAAAGCTGCAACTAACATGGAATAAATTGTTCCTTATAAAATAATAGTTTCAGATATAATTCTTCCGCTCATTGTATAAAAATTCTTTAAAATTATATTATTGGATACATTCCGAGAAATGTGTGTAGAGCTGATTGCTACTTCTGGCTTAGTTTACGAGACAAGACGAACGGTAATCTTAATTTCTGCATATAAAACAATGCCAATCAGAACAGGAAATACAATTTAATCAGTAAATCATCATGTCTAGTTTTATCTCAAATTTCAAATTTGTGTTGGCCAAGTTTAATTGTTATATTCTGTTCGTTTCCCTGAATTAGCTGAAGGGATACAATGGAATTTTCTGCGGAAGACAAACACGTTTTTATTGCAAATGTAGGGATTGTGTATGCACTGGTGACGTGCCTCATTCCGATTTGCTTTATAGACAGGGTATATAAATTAGCATAGATTTCCCACTTATTTAAGAGACAAACACACATGTTAATCTTAACCTCTGCATATAAAGCATTGTCCCGCATACAGTACACAGATACCATTGAATTTGTATTTGAATACCATCGTCATGTCTAGTGATGTTGTATCGCAAATTTAATGTTTTCATTGACCAAATTTGCAAACAACAAAACAAGCACACAAACTCCTATTGCCGCTATGACCATAACACACAAGACGCAGTAAAGCAATGCGCATGAAAAGGGAAGTAACTGCATGTTATATTGGATCGCATTGTTTTTAAGTATTGTAGCATTTCACTGTTGGGTTTGGTGTTCGAGACGCAGAATTTTTAAGGATTTTGTTTTGTTGAAAATGGAAATAAAAACGAAACGTGCGTCTGACTTTATTATGATGCAGCAGTGCCTGAGAACCAAGAATATTTTTTTTAGCCTAAATCCACGGCCTGTAAAAATTACAGAAGTTACCCCCCTCCTTCACTGTCTTTGTGTCTCTCTGGAACAACAACATGAGGTCTTACAGCCTCATCCTCCCCACACCAACCCAATTCTGATACACAAATACGAATATGACATCACAACCTAAACTCAAGCTGTGACATCACAACACTACTTAACGTAACATGTATTTCAGTTCATTGTTGACTTTAGGAGGAATTATTTGCGAGTACAATAAGTAACATGTGTCTTCCAAGATCGACGGTTATTTATATTTGTGTCCATATATGTGTAGCAATAGAATTTAGTCACTACAAGATATTTTTCAAGGTAGTCATTTGCCTACCTCTGAATTTTAGACAGTAGACAAATTGAAATTTAGGTCGCATTGGCGATCGTTTAGTTGAAACTTTGAGGCCTGTCTTTAGCCACTCACAAGTTCTAAGCGTTATGGCTTATTGTTAGCACCTGTTGGTTGTAGTCTATACGGGCTTGGGTATCCACACCCCACCGTCCAACCGGGGTATAAATGCACAGTGTGAGATAAGATAAGTTTAAAACTTTGTAAAGTTTACATTAAATTGTATATTTATAAAACTTGTCATATCTCACAAGCTCTATGCCCCCCCTGCCATCCCCGCATCACAGCCCCTCCAGCCTGGCACCTCTAGGGAAGAATGATGAGGCAGGGGTAATCAGGTGATTAGTTGGTGTTGGGTCACAACGCTCAGGATTTCAATGTGTGACCCATTTGTTTGGGTGGTGACCATGGTGATGCTGGCATGTGTTCGGGCGAAATGTTTTTAGAAGCTGGAAACTTTATTCAAGCACTTTTCCACATAAGGGTCGAAAGAAGAAGGAAGAAATGCATAGTGTGAGATAGCATAAGTTTTTCTAAATACATGTATACAATTTAGATTTTAAGTTTACAAATTTTGGCCCAAATATGTATTGCACTCGCTATAGCGATATAGTGTAATACGATTTATGTGTCAATATGCCAACCCAATTGAACGTTTCAATAAAATTGCACTTTATTTATCCAAAATGTGGTGTCATTTAGATGTCAGTTGTGTTGAGTGTTTCAACCCCCAAAATGACTTTATTTGTCTGAAATGTGGTGTCATTTTCATGTTGAAAATGTTGAGGTGTTGATTGTCTCCAGTTTCCAATATCGTTCGCCATCAACTTTTCCATCCCCCTGGACAAGATGGTGAAGAAGAAGAATGAGCCTGAGTGTGTGAAGGCCCCGGAGGCGGAGAGCAAGAAGGAGGGAGGGAACCAGGCAGCCAAGAGTGATGAAGCTGACTCCGGCAGAACCAAGGTGAGGGCAAATTACATACTGAACAGTGGGTTTAGGATAGGCTCCAGGGATGAGGATCTTCCATCTTCCCCAGATCTGCGAATTTTAGTGACCCCAAATTTTGGAAATCTGGTGGCTTCCCCCATAAACACCACCAAATTATGGACCACGCTCCATTGCAAATAAGTTTCAGGTGAAAAGGAGAATATCCATTCTCCTCACTGGTTAGCACAGATTACATACTGCTAAACAGATGTCTTGAAGATACGCAGGTAATTTGAACATATGGGCTTACTTAGCTAATTTTTCTAGACTGAAATACAGTTACTGAGCTTCAGCTTCATGGGAATGCCGGGTCAGGAGAGGTTCCAGCATCATCCTATACTAGTAGTAACAAGAGGCGACTAAATGGATCTGCAGGATTCATTTTATGGGAAAATTTGAAATACTCCAGAGGTACACCCACACTTGCCCAATGTTAAAATGCCCATTGTATTTGAAAATGTGGTCCTTATCCCTGGATCTGGTGGTCAGGCTTGTTAACCAGTCTGATAACATGTCCTTGTACCCAGATGATGTGAATCAGTCCTTCATCATGACTTCAATCAACCCTGAATCTGGTGGTCAGGCTTGTTAACAAGTCTGATAACATGTCCTTGTACCCAGATGGTGTGAATCAGTCCTTCATCATGACATCAATCAACCGATTGTAAGGTTTAGACCTGCTTTTTTAAAGGCATCCATCATATAGCTCAGACAGGGCAGGATTAGTCAAGAAACAGACTGTGCTTAGGACTTGTTGATGAAGTACAGATTGTGTTGGGGGGGGGGGGGAAGTTATTTTTTCGTTTCTGTGAATGTGATTTATGTTGTTTCCCCAGAGGCGAGCCACCCTGTTTGACAGTAGCGTGCGGCCATTTGTAGACTACTTCCAGAAGACTGGCCGCCTCGTCAACATTGATGTGTCGTGTGGGATGCTGGATCTGATCTGGTCACGAATGTGTGAAGTGTTCTCCGACCTGCAGCTCACAAACTGTGCTAACGCAGACACTGTCATCATCTTTGCTTTTGGTGAGTGTTTACAACTGTTGTGGTTGCTAAGACATCCAGGTGAGATGGGGGGATGGGTGTTTCCAAAGCCGCTGCATTTCACTGTGTAGAGTTGTCACCCGAGTATGTATGCCAGGAACAGATGATTGTGGATTTGAATACCAGATTCACCGTGACTAGATGTCTAAGTTTGTCAGCACTACCCATACTGCATCACATGGGGCTTTCCTTCCGCATCAAGCTGACATGAAGTCTATTACTGGAATATTGTTCAAAGGAGCGTTAAGCAAAGTTCACACACTCACTTACTCTCATCTCTAGACGAACTTGGACAATCTCAAGAGATGTATTTCTCGTATTTTTCTTGAACTATCGGCTCTATTCACTGACCAGTGATCAGTGATTTACAAATTCCATGTGCACAAGGGATGAAAAGGAGGGTCACATGTTTGTGATTAATTCATATTATGAATAAATAGTGTGTACTGAGATGGAATTTAACACCATCCTGCAAACCTGGACCAGTTTTGTCAATGCTGATCATACTGGTATCCTAAGGGCTAATCTGGGTCAGTTTCTTCAATGTTAAAGGTACCGGTATCCTAAGGGCTAATCTGGGTCAGTTTCTTCAATGTTAAAGGTACCGGTATCCTAAGGGCTAATCTGGGTCAGTTTCTTCAATGTTAAAGGTACCGGTATCCTAAGGGCTTATCTGGGTCAGTTTCTTCAATGTTAAAGGTACCGGTATCCTAAGGGCTAATCTGGGTCAGTTTCTTCAATGTTAAAGGTACCGGTATCCTAAGGGCTAATCTGGGTCAGTTTCTTCAATGTTAAAGGAACCGGTATCCTAAGGGCTAATCTTGGTCAGTTTCTTCAATGTTGAAGGTACCGGTATCCTAAGGGCTAATCTTGGTCAGTTTCTTCAATGTTAGAGGTACTGGTATCCTAAGGGCTATCCTGGGTCAGTTTCTTTAATAATAAAGGTACCGGTATCCTAAGGGCTAATCTGGACCAGTTTCTTCAATGTTGAAGGTACCAGTATCCTAAGTGGCAAGTAGAGTTTCAAACATTTGGAGGGGTATTTCTATGTCACTATTTGTTCTTGGTTAATATCCATGTGTGGTGTATTATTTGTTCAGATGAGAGCACCATAGAGGAGATAGAGCTCGGCCAGTACTGTATCCACAGACTGAATCTGACAGAATATATCCAGGATCCCCAGGAGCCAGCTGTAAGTGAAAACATTTTGACTCCATCTGAATTTTCAACTTAAATTATAATTTTCAGTCTGCTAAAAGAAAATTTCATCTTTCCACCACCTGGAATACATTTACAAGATTTCCAATGTGTCCTTCGTTCCTATGTTTATTGTTAATGTTGAAACAATTCACAGTTTGTCACAATATGATGTCTAGGGATTTGACATTATACACACTTTATGTTCAACATGTAATGCAGCTGACAGAAGTTTCCTACCTAATGTTTTGTTCAGGAGAAGATTCTCTCGTCTTTGAGTCGTGTGATTGAAGATTTTGACCCAACTGTGAAGGCTTTTGCTGTCAACCTTGGAGGGACGTCGCTGGACAAGAAGATGACCCTAGAGGTATGAATAGGGCAGTTGTACATGATTGTTGTGACTACCCGTGAAGATCAGGGTTAGAATCATTCTTCAGCAACCCAAAAGGCGACTATGCTTGCCCTAACATGATTGGGTGGTTGGGCTCGCTGTCTTGGTTGAGGCATGTCATTGTTCCCAATTGTGTGGATCGATGCTCATGATGTCAATCACTGTGTACAATGTGTGGGTGTTGGTTTGTCAGTCTCCCAACCCTGGGTTTCCCACTGGGTACAATGTGTGGGTGTTGGTTTGTCAGTCTCCCAAACCTGGGTTTCCCACTGGGCACAATGTGTGGGTGTTGGTTTGTCAGTCTCCCAAACCTGGGTTTCCCACTGGGCACAATGTGTGGGTGTTGGTTTGTCAGTCTCCCAAACCTGGGTTTCCCACTGGGTACAATGTGTGGGTGTTGGTTTGTCAGTCTCCCAAACCTGGGTTTCCCACTGGGCACAATGTGTGGGTGTTGGTTTGTCAGTCTCCCAAGGCTGGGTTTCCCACTGGGCACAATGTGTGGGTGTTGGTTTGTCAGTCTCCCAAAGCTGGGATTCCCACTGGGTACAATGTGTGGGAGTTGGTTTGTCAGTCTCCCAAACCTGGGTTTCCCAATGGGCACAGTGTGAATGTGTGGGTGTTGGTTCGTCAGTCTCCCAAAGCTGGGTTTCCCACTGGGTACAATGTGTGGGTGTTGGTTTGTCAGTCTCCCAAACCTGGGTTTCCCACTGGGTACAATGTGTGGGTGTTGGTTTGTCAGTCTCCCAAACCTGGGTTTCCCACTGGGTACAATGTGTGGGTGTTGGTTTGTCAGTCTCCCAAACCTGGGTTACCCAATGGGCACAATGTGAATGTGTGGGTGTTGGTTCGTCAGTCTCCCAAAGCTGGGTTTCCCACTGGGTACAATGTGTGGGTGTTGGTTTGTCAGTCTCCCAAACCTGGGTTTCCCACTGGGCACTGTTCTTCCCTGGTAATGGAATGATTCCAAAAAAGTCTATAAAGCTGACTCAATCACTTTTTCTCTCTACGTGTCTTCCTTCCAGGGCAAGCGACGCATAATGTTTGTGGATGAGAACAACAAGAAACTGGACTCGCACGTCAAGATGCAGATGAAAGGCAAGCCGTGCGCCAAGAACTTCAAGGCCATGTGTTCATTGGAGAACCAGATCTGTCTCTTCCCACAAGACACCGACCTCGAGCTCTGCAAGAACATTTCTCTCTTCCTGGCCAAGTGCAGACTGAATTCCTGAACTGCCCGACCAGTAACCCGAGGTGAGGTGGTTGGAAGTACCGCCACCGCCGCCGCAGATGCTCCGACATTCCTTGAATACTCATTATGAAGTCTGTATACATCGTTAACCTTTGCCAGTTGGATTTTCTTCATTGTTGTGATTGACAATTCCGTCTGAAATGGTATCACATTTATCCTATTTTTAAGTTGTCATTCATATGTGGTCCTCAGATGTATATTTTTACAGTAAATAGTCCTGTTATTTTCATAACTATACCAACTTTCATACTGAACACACTGCAACTGACTCATATTCAATTGTTCTTCCTTTTACAATGAAGTCATGGCCTTGAGAGGAAACCTTGCATCGGCATTTCGTCAAACTTTAACATAAGCAATATGCTCCCACTCAGGTTGTTACAGCTGCATTTCACAAACACAAACACAATAGTGTTTCATTAGACAGGGGTGTGGCTTGCTCTGTTTGATAGCCCAGTTGAATGTCAGTTCACCCTCAAGTTACCAGTGCCTGTTCCACCGTTATGAAATTCATAGGTCTTATCCTGGGCCTGGTCCATAGTTACGAAAGTCGTCAGTCTGATCCTGTGTTCCTCAGAAGTTACATAATGTCCCATCTCATTAAAATCAGATCTTAGTTTTCACTACCACTAAACTTAAATCTGAGGACATTCCATTATGGGTCACGTCAGAACGACCTCTCATCTGACCAATCAGAGTGTACGGGTCACGTCAGAACGACCTCTCATCTGACCAATCAGAGTGTTGTTAACCAGATCAGGAAATGACACAAAGTGTTTTCTTATCATGCAACCTCAAAAAGGTTAACAACTGATTCCATCGAAACCATCGTCTATCTCTCGCTTCAATGGAATAAAACATTTGAAACAGAAGAGACTTTCCATAGACATAGCCATAGGAAGTTAGAGAATGTCATCTTCTTAGCGCTAAGGTCACTCTGTGGAAACCTGGAATATAATCCAGCTGGCAAGGGTTTATACTGTCATAAATACTCATGCATTGTTAAGGGAAAATTAATCAAAATCCATTGCAAGAGACGTCTCAAGTGGCTGATGTCAGTAATTAGTTGTTTGACAGTCCCAATGGCATCCGCCATGCATTTATATTTTTAAGACATTTTTTTTCACTTTGTTACCTGTTTCACTTAAGAATTCCAAGGAGCTTAGTCCTGTTGTTGTCTGTTGATGTATGTGGTGCTGTTTTCTATTTGTAGATAGTTGTCTACTGATGTATTTCTAATGGCTGTAGTTCATTGATCTCTCTCTCATCCTCGGAGCTCAGTCCCGGGATGCTGTGGCTGCATTCCTCGTCAGTTGTTACATGGCTCGTCAGTTGTTACATGGCTCGTCAGTTGTTACATGGCTCGTCAGTTGTTACATGGCTCGTCAGTGAGTGCTGCACTCATACATGTCAAGTCGATATTGATTGTCCCAGAAACCGTTGAGAGAGTTTCCTTTCTTGAGATGTTGTGTGATCCTTTAACCAAAGATTTGTATTACGTTTTCACAGGGCAAACAAACATGGGTTAGTTCTGACATATACTCCACATTTAAAACTCCTTGAAAGAAGATCTGGTCTGTGTTTTTGCTTTTCAAAGACCATGGCTCTTATTTCAGTCTTCATTCAGAACACAAATTCATTTTAGTTTTGTAATCATTCTCATGTGCATGACCCAAAATAAATGTCCGGGGACAGTGACATGTAGGACCGGTGCTCCCTATGCTCAATCCCCCTCCCCCTCCCCCTCCCCCTCCCCCTCCGCTAGTCATGGGGACATGGCCCCTGCAGGGTTTTTCAACTCTCCCACGACACAAATGACATCAACTCATTCAAGCAAGTGATGCTGCAGTTCTGCCAGGCAGCCTGTACCGGTAATTAATACTGTCACAGGACGAACTCAGCTTTGTTACAAATCAGAATCAAATGTTTGTCTTCAAAAACTTGTCAGCCATGTATTGTAGCTTAATCACTTTGACATTAGGTCATGTTCTGATGTTTATGAATGGATGTTGTAGGTGTGCACATTTCCCTCTCTATGTTCTCTGGAAGGTGAGCAGTCTTTATTCCCTATGCAGGTCAAAACTTAGGTCAGAACAGACAGTTTGACATTACCTCTGTTCAGTGTATTCTTAACTTAAGTACTGCTTTAGAACAAAAGAGATGACAAACTACTGTCATTTTGTAGGACTAAGTGATCTTAGACTGTGGTTTATGAAATGAAAATACTTTTCCAGTCTAGTGAAACATGTCAGGTAATTAGTACATGTATCAAACAAGGTTTGTACAGGCTTGAAAAGGCCCTTAATTTTAAGGTCCGTCTTAAAAAGCCTTGAAAATCACCAAAATAGCTTGAAAAAGCCTTGAATTTGTACAAAATGACAAACTTGTTAATTAAGTATTAAAATACACAAAGTAATAGTTACATGTTTCAGTGATAGATTTGACACTTTGTCAAACACCTTGAAGAATTCATGACAGATTTGATTTGTTTACATATTGGTTGTAAAAATCAATCTTGTTTGAATTTTTGTGATGCTCATACTGCTTTTTAGGTTTTACGACTAATATGTAGTGTGGTCTTACGACAAATATACAGCATGATGGATTAAAAAAATATTGACAGACTGAACCCAACTGAAAAAGCATTCAAAATGACACTTGAAAGTCTTGTGGCAAGTTGTATGGAAAGGTCAGTAGGAAACTCTTTCAGCTCAGTAACATCTGTGTGATGATTCATATGTTAATGTAACCTTGACATCTTTATTAAGTTTAATTTCTTTTATTCATTCTAATTCAAGAACCTTTGAAATGTTGTTGTGGTTTGAATGCTTTGGGCCTCCATTTTTGTGGAAAATCTCTTCATTTGTGTTCCTCAGAAGTTACATGAAATCAGATCTTAGTTTCCTCTACCACGAAACATGGTTCTGAGGACATTCCATTACGGGACACGTCAGAACTCTTTCATCCGACCAATCAGTTTTTTCATGTTTTCTAATTATGCAACCTCGAAAAGGTTTACATCAAAATCATCATCTATCTCTCACTTCAATGGAATAAACATTTCAAACGGAAAAGACTTTCCATAGCGGCTTAGTCATAGTCGTAGGCAGTACTGCCATACAATCTCAGGGCATCCAATAGACATTCCAGGATTTTCTTTGCTCAGTTTTTAAATTCTGAATCAAGAACTTTGTTAAGAAATCTTCAAAGCGTAGTCAGGAATGGAAGTCGCCAGTTTAAAACTTGTGCTGTATTGCTCAAGAAAGCTTTTTCTGATTGATTAAAATAAAGTTCACAAAAGGTCGTTCTGACGTGACCTGTAATAGGATGTCCTCAGATCTTAGTGCTTGCTACCGTTAAACAAATTGTAATGAGATTGCATGTCATGTGAGTGAGTGAGTTAAAATTTAACGTCACATCGGCATTATTTCAACATTAGCAGTTGAAGCTAAATGGCGTCCCTGAAATACCTCCATTATATTGTTGTACGTTGTTTATTGCATATTTTGTTACCTATTTATAATATGTGCATATTTTGTTAAAATTATCCATGTAAAATGATTTTGTTAGTTTATCATTCAAGTATGAGAGTGGTCAAGGGAATTTCACTTCTGAAAGTAGGGCATGTTTAAATGTTTCTGCAACCAGCTAGATTGAAACACTAAGCATTAACGAGTGAATTGAAGGATTAGCTGGCGATAAAAGTCTACCTCAATATCTAAATACTGCTAATGGATAAGGGTCTCGATAGGCAGACAGATTTTGAAAACATAATTTGAAATCTACACTTTCACTGTATACAGTGTATGAATATTTAATTATGATAAGACAAAAAATTATTTTTAATTTTGCAACTTTTATGAAACCTTGAAATGTTCCGAATGTTGGTGTTTCTTCTGGTTTATGACTTTTACACTTGAAACAGATCATGTGCCTTGTGTAAAGATCTGGTTTTGTGGGACGTCTTTGAGAGGCATTTAATACATGCTGTTGATGTTTCCTTGTACAGGTTGGTTCACTGGTCATCGCTGCTGTGACACTCATGACCGTTCAAGTATTTTATCAGTGGAACAATTTATAACTACAGTCTTCATGTATGATGTAATGATGGACCTCAAGCACAATTATTGTTGTTGTACTTAGGACAGACCAAATAAATTGCTTGTTTTAAGGATTTTGTATCCCAAAATGACCAAAGCAATGAAAAGAAACAAGTGGGAGAAAGATAAAAAATAGATAATATATTTTGAGATGGTTCCCAGACAATTATGTCCTGTTAGGGAGGGAGTGTTTAGAAAATATCTTCAAAGGGGACAGGCAGGTCTGTAAAACAATTAATTTAAATTGGTCTGTCCTTTTTTATAATTTCATTATTTATTTTCTTGCAGTGATTATTATGTGATAAAGATATTTTTAATGTCTCATCTTACTGACACGAACAGAAGCATTTCGTTGTTGTCAGTCTCAACTGGTGATGGAGGTACTGAAACTGTCTGATGACATCATGTCACTAGTCAGATGCATCACGACAGACAGGAACATCCCTAGCAACAGTCAAGTGGCATGCCTCTGTGAGGAGAAAACAAGGGCTTAAGGCCAGAAGATGACTGTCTTAATGTACAATATAAATGTTTTCAGTGACAGATAACATACAACTGAATTGTTTGATAGGCATTACTTAGAAGTTGACAGATGACACAATGTATGTAATTTAAGTAGAAACAATTTATGGATAACAACTTCTTTAATACTGTAATGGTGAAGTTTCGGTATAGATCCTTGTGTCTACTTTAACATATAACTGGTTGTTATTAACACACTTGACAAGGGAAATTCATAGAGTGTCTCTGAAATATCTGTGGTGATAGTGGTAATTATCATGTTTTTTGCAGTGACAGTTTCTTGAAATATTAACCCATGTTTCCAAATGAAAGTAGTTAGAGCCATCATACTGGCATGCTTGAGATGAGCCAAATCAAAATGATAATGTTAAACAGATGTAATTTAGTGTGTATACAAAGTGGTTGTATAGACATGCATCTCTTTCGGCTTGATCATCCATGTATCATTGTAAGTGAACTGTTTGCTGTTTCTGGTGTCCTCAGCCTGGTGTTCATCTGGAACTGATTTGTCTGTGCTGGAAGTCAGGGATGTCCTGTTTTTGAGATTATATCAAAGGGTTAGATATTATCTTCTTTCATTGTTAATAAAGTTTGTTGACTTGACTTCTTGTATATTTTTAAGTCTGAAAGGCATTTAGAAGTGGTACACAAAAGGAGTGAGTGAGTGAGTTGGGTTTAACACCGCTTTTAACAGTATTCCAGTTATATCACGGCGTGTCAGCTTAATGTGGGAGGAAAGCCCGAAGTGATGCAGGTCTAAGACGTTTACCACTTCGGTGAAACCCACAAGCACGGGTATGGTGCTGACAAACCTAGAAACATAATCGGGGCGAACCAGGATTCGAACCCACAATCATAGGTTTCTGGCGTGCCCAAGTGACTCAACTCTGCACAGCGAATCGCGGCGCCTTAGACGACTGGGCCACCCGGCCCCTTACACAAAAGGAAGAGAATTTATGGATGTCAGCTTCTTTATTAGACTATGAGGAACAAAACGTTTCGGAGTACAAATGTGCTTGCTCCTTCATCAATTCACCCGATGGAGGAAGCATATACTCCAAAACATTGTGTTCCTCATAATAAAGAAGTTGACATCCATAAATTCTCTTCTTTTATTATGGCCACCGGTGTGTGAACAACTGACACACGTCTCAGCGATAGGAACTAACATATTAAGTCCACTAGTCCCTTTAATGATAACATGTATCAAAAACCCTTAAAAATGGCAAATTCCTACTAGTCCTTAAGATACCTTAACTTTTGGGCAGTTTGGTAAGGACTACAAGACTAGTAGCAGTTTCTAACAGTGTCACTTAGGATACAGCAGTACCAGCCTGCAGCAAGATAACTGGTAGTGATTCATACCAGTCATCATAAACAATAAAAGAAACATTTTAGAAATACTCAGTAAGAGAGAATGAAGATTTACGGACTGTCTGGTTGTGAGTTTGTTTTCTTTATCACCTAGTCTTTGTTTGGACAAATATAGAGAGACATGAGAGTGTGGAGACTAGGGCTGGGACGAATCTAAATTTACTACCCGGGTACTCACACCCCTATACCAGACCCTACCCGGGTACCTGCTGTTAGTGTCAAGGGATAGGTACAAAATGTCCGATTGGGAATAGTGCGTCAGTAGCCCTGGCAGAATGTATTCAGATACAAGCATAAAACGATGTGGTCATGCATGCACTGAAGTTGACTGAAGTTTTAGCTTTGTTCAAACATATACAAGTCAGAAGGAACGTGTTCAGTCATGAGGAAATACAAACATTAGAGACTTAAAATCGTGTAACCATGTAGCTATATAGTGAATTTTTGTCATGAAACTATATCACGTGACTAACCACGGGTCCGGGTAGTCCTGTGTGTACCGGGGTCCTACTCAGTACCCACCCGACCCGAGTACCCGAATTACCCGTCCCAGCACTAGTGGAGACATCAGCTCAGTTAATCTATTGCTGTCATGATGCCCATACCCTTGGTATTTCCCACATATTCTCACGTCGATTATCTGGATCTTTTCTCTTAATACTGATTGTCATATCTCTCCAGCTTTTGGATGCGATTGTTCGGCCACTGCCTTTATCTGCATAGCCAAGCAACATCTATTGGGACCAATTTAGTAGACACTTCGCTCTCAAAAATAACATTGTCCAATATATGTCATCAAGTTGCGAGGGCATATTTGAATCTCCAGAAATGACGTCATGATGGAACAATGTTAAAATAAACCACGCTTCATTCTTCATTGTTCTTTGAGATTTATCACGTAGCTATCTTATGTTCTGATTATCTGATAATCAGTGTCGACTTCTAAATTCTACCAGAGAAGATGTCGGAGCATCATGTCTGATTTCTGTAGCTTGAAAATGAATATGAGCCAGCAGTTCTGAATTGAAAATAACAGAGCAATCTGTTTATGTTGTGGTTGTAGCACCCAGTCACTTCCAAAAAGTCCAAGGCATCTACATCCGAATAGGTTCATAATGAAGGGAATATTTGTTTTCCTTTAATGAGAAGTTTCTGAATCAAGGTGGAAAAGAAATGAAGCCAATTTGTTTTTGAAAGCTTCCATTTGATTGGCTCAAGAAACCCTTAGTTTTGATTGGGCAGTGCATACCTCGTGTGACCTATGGCCTGTTTGTCAGATCTTGACAAAGGGTATCAAATTAAAGTCTTGTCTGTCAGCTTTCGATGTGGGCTATTTTTCGTGAGATGACCAGGAGCTTTCTAAAAGTACTTTCTCCAAACACAACTTCTGACTGAGTGAGACCAGTCATGAGAGGTGAAATACGGTGTAGTCACATTCAAGATTGTTTCTCTTATATAGTGTTTTGCATGCACGTACGATTGGCTGCTTGTAGTAATCCGATTTCATATTGCTAGCCCACTGAGATACCATGCAGCAACAGGCAGCCTAAAAACCAGTACCATCTTTTTTAAAAGTCTTTTTGTTATAATGTGGCCAGGGGATCGAACCACTGATGTCTGCTCTTTGGGCAGATATTCTATCGAGTACACGACAGGGACAGTCTGACCAGTCATGAAAATTAACAGATTCAGTGTTATGAGCTTTATACATGATGGATAATAATAGCCTGTGACCCAATGACTCACTGAACTAGCTGATGTTTGAACATTGGCCTTGTGAAGAAAGGGAAGTAACTCTACTTAAATGTAGCTTTACTATCACTTGTGAGCACAAAAGACATGCTTTTCTTTTCACACTTCAGCAATAAGTCTGTCGTAAGACATAAAAGCAATTAAGAGGAAAAAAAACATAAAAAGAAGTATGGTTCAATAACTGAAAATAAGCATTTCAGATATTGGTATTTCATCTTAATTTAAAACAAACAAACAAAACCGTTTAAACAAGAAGTTTTAAAAATAATAGCATGACCTATAATGTTGCACTGATTTGTTTCTTCATAATTGTAAAATCCTTTACAAACTGATCCCATTTCTTTTTGCATTTTGACACTGGCTAACACAATCGGTGAAACAGCAGCGGCCTTCTCAACAAACATAACCTAAAATGTTCCACCCAAATTCAAGGAGCACCAATGACAAGAAACACGCTTGTACTGATTGAATCTGTGTTTATTTAGGAGTATAAAATGTTGGTGAAATGAACAGGCCAGTATTTACAGAGTCTGGGGGTGGATCACCAACGTTTATACACTACACCTCCATGGAGTGTACCAGGGATACCCCTGTCTACAAGAACCTGCCACAGGAAGAGCGGACCCAGGCCCACAGCCAACCAGATGAAGTGACCTTCCTAGTAGTAGTTAGTAGTAGGGCTTAGTTAGACAGGGACTAAACTCACACAACTATCCACACAAGAAATTCTTCCAAAACGTTTTTAATGTTCAAAACACAGCATCGGTTTTTTATCAGTTAATTCTGAAGATGATAATTGAAACAAGTTGATGCAGAGCAAATTATTTCAATATTGACAATCTGAAGCTGAAGATATTAATCTTGACTTATGAAATGCAATGTTGACATAGGAAACGACAAATGTACCTCCTCCTCCTCCTCCCCAAGTTTGTGCCTTATGGTAGGACTGAGCTCAACAGAAAGCAAGAGATAACAAGCGCGCTTGTGAACTGCCCATTGCAGGCCCTGACTTTAGCTTGACAGGATAGGATGAACTGAGTTAAGCTTACTTCGAACGATATCTGAGTTTAACTGCAGGACTGATCGTAGCTAAAGAATGACAGTTGGGCTTGCATTGCCAACAACGGCTGAATCGAGCGTCAACAGCTAAATCTAGTGTCAAAAGCTGAATCGAGCTTCAACAGCTAAATCAGGTGTCAAAAGCTGAATCGAGTGACAACAGCTGAATCAAGAGTAAACAGCTGAAATCAGTGTCAACAGCAATCAACACATTGCTTATAAACAGTGAATCATTTTCCAACATGACTCCAGGTATATAAACAAGAGATCAATACTACTGAACTTGTGTTAGGTATACCAGGAAATCTGATACCGAAACAAACCTCAGAGTACTATGTAACTTAATGAATTATTTCATGTCAAGACCAACTCAAATAGAGCTGAAAAAACATCTCCTCGATTGCAATACTGAATACTGTTCATAGGACAGCTCCAAGTCACATTCAGTCCCCTCTGGAATAATAAGATATATTGATCTCTAGCAGAAGCTCAGTTGTATATTTGCTATATCCCCCAATGTCATCATCTGATGTCATCTTGTATCAAATCCTGAACAGTTGCTTATCATCTGTCCAGCTGCTACAAAAATGTTCGGCCATCATCCTCTTCAAATATTTGAATAATTTCATTTAATTTATCTACACAAACCTCATATGGCCCAGATCATCACATAATGCCCAACAGATAACATATACCAAGTCTTGTCATAGCGACAACACAGTTTGGTAATAATGTCTTACAGAAAGGCTATAATGAGGATATCATCCTGGCTATGGTACTGAGGCAGAGCTGTAGTTGGACTCCTTGTTCTGTGACTAACATACAGAAGGCTACAGTGGTGGGGGCTAAGGATACTTGTGTGATGTCATACATTCTCTCACCTGTCTTCCAACGGGTATGTCTACTCTCCGACTACAGTCTCCTTTGTAATCTAGCTTTTACTCTGGTAATAACAACAGGTATGCAACGTCGTAATAAACATTCATTAATAATTGTATAAATATGCCCTGGACACCTCTGACAAACAAACATGCTAGTCTAGATCCGTGTTGTCCATCACAGACACAAGGGGCGTGATACGACACGTATTGCCATACAAGCTGCATCATACAAAGTATATTTCTCCACTTTACACATTTTCCTTTATTACCAAGCCCTAATCTTAACCTTGATTAATCATCAGATACAGTTTCCATACTTAGAGAAATAACAGGATTTTGATTTTGTAGGAGATGGATAGGGAATTTCGTAATTCGCATGAAACTTGCTGATGTTGGTCAATAATAGAACCTCATCATTCATCGAACAATGCTGCAGTTATACTTTCCAGACTTCAAACTAATTACTTTTATCCGTTCATCTTGAATCATTTTTATCCGTTCAGGGTGAAATATTTGGTATCAAAAGACACTTGTAGCTCAATACAAAAATGATTTCACTTGAAACAGCATAATCCCAGGTAACAGGCATCGCTGTATCAAATTTCAAGACGAGGCACCTACCATCAACCATGTATTGCGGTACGATGTCGTATCACTGTATATCTCCACCCCTTACAGATGCATGCAGTCGGCTGCTAACACCACACATATATATGCTAAAAGAGTAACAGATAACAATATCTAAAGACCAACCAATCGACACACTTACCACTCACAGAATCACACATTTACAAATCAGTTTCATTAAAATGTACAGATTATTAATACCCTTGGTGGCCAGCTTCAAATCAAACACATTTCCTTGAGCTGGACACAGAGACACGTAGCCATCACACGAAATCCTGAAATACTGGGATGACATCGATCGGTTTTCCAAATATAAAACACTGCCGTTTCACAAAAATATCATCATAAGCAAGAATGTTTTAAACCTAACCTAAACAAATCACTTATTAAAACAAATCACTTATTTAAAACTGTTTGGTTACAATGACAACAGAAGCTTCTTGAGTAGGAAGCCAGCTATATACATGGTACAAAAACAGACATTCTGTACGTTGCTTCGTTCTGGAGAGGCACAAAATATGCATATGTTAAGTTAGCAAATGTGTCTGAATCGACTTGGTTATCTGAAAACCTAACAACATAGGGACAGAGGCAACAACTGGAGGTCTAATCTCAATTCAGCGAAACAACGGACACGCACGCAGACAGCTGTCACTGTCAAGCAGCCTGCCTCTAAAAGCCAGGCACATCAATCTGATGAGAACAATTCTATGTCCATCGCTACAAGGAAAGCATGGAATGAAGGTAAGCACTATGAGCCGGTTTACAGAAAGGTATGCCCTGAGTCCTCATCTAGCCTTTTCAACATGGGTAATATATTAAGTTCTAGGTGTACAGAAGGCATGATCTATCCTATACATACATCACATTTCACATACAAGTTCTGCTTTAGGAATACCATGGTCTACAAACATTGATCTGAGTGTGTACAAGAAACGACTTCTTGTTCACGTCTACAGGATGTTGTGTAGGTCCCTCACAAACACACAGACACACACTGACTCTCACTGGCTCTCATCATACTGCAGCGGTGGTGGAAGACAGACCGGCAAGCCACCGGGTGATGAGGGGGAACTACAAGCAGCGACATGACAGTGTCTGGACACAAGTCTCTGGAAGGTCATCAAGCATCCAGGTCACCTTGTACTACAAGACAGTGTCTGGAGGATCACCAAGCAGCCAATTCATTTTGTACCAGACATTGTCATAAGACAATGTCTGTGACATAAAAGTGTTTCGAAACAGGCCACCTTGTAATTAAAGACAGTGTCTGTTCAAGATCATTATAAAAAATGTCATGTTGTACCGTACACTCCTTAACATACAAGTGTCTGGACGTTCACCAACCAACACTGTAACAAGCTCAGGACACAATGTACAAAATAGTGTCTGTGCAATACAAGAGTCTTAAATTCACCAAATCACCCTTGTACAGGTACTGGACAATGTCTGGAACATTACCAAGCAACTACAGGACATTGTCAGTAACTCATGTCACTTGAAGGTCACCTTGAACCTAACACAGCTCCAGGACTATGTCTAGGTGGACACCAGACACAGCGCAAGCACAATGTCTAGATGGACACCAGACACGGCACCAGGACAATGTCTAGGTGGACACCAGACACAGCGCAAGGACAATGTCTAAGTGGACACCAGACACAGCGCAAGGACAATGTCTAGATGGACACCAGACACAGCACCAGGACAATGTCTAGGTGGACACCAGACACAGCACCGGGACAATGTCTAGGTGGACACCAGACACAGCTCCAGGACAGTGTCTAGGTGGACACCAGACACAGCACCAGGACAATGTCTAGGTGGACACCAGACACAGCACCAGGACAATGTCTAGCCGGACACCAGACACAGCACCAGGACAATGTCTAGGTGGACACCAGACACAGCACCAGGACAATGTCTAGCCGGACACCAGACACAGCACCAGGACAGTGTCTAGATGGACACCAGTCACAGCACCAGGACAGTGTCTAGATGGACACCAGTCACAGCACCAAGACAATGTCTAGGTGGACACCAGTCTCTGTACCAGGACTATGTCTAGGTGGACACCAGACACAGCACCAGGACAGTGTCTAGATGGACACCAGACACAGCACCAGGACAGTGTCTAGATGGACACCAGACACAGCACCAGGACAATGTCTAGGTGGACACCAGTCACTGTACCAGGACAGTGTCTAGATGGACACCAGACACAGCACCAGGACAGTGTCTAGATGGACACCAGACACAGTACCAGGACAGTGTCTAGGTGGACACCAGTCACAGCACCGGGACAATGTCTAGGTGGACACCAGTCACTGTACCAGGACAGTGTCTAGACGGACACCAGACACAGCACCAGGACAATGTCTAGACGGACACCAGACACAGCACCAGGACAATGTCTAGGTGGACACCAGACACAGCTCCAGGACAGTGTCTAGTTGGACACCAGACACAGCACCAGGACAATGTCTAGATGGACACCAGACACAGCACCAGGACAGTGTCTAGACGGACACCAGACACAGCACCAGGACAGTGTCTAGATGGACACCAGACACAGCACCAGGACAGTGTCTAGATGGACACCAGACACAGCACCAGGACAATGTCTAGATGGACACCAGACACAGCACCAGGACAGTGTCTAGATTGACACCAGACACAGCACCAGGACAATATCTAGGTGGACACCAGACACAGCTCCAGGACAGTGTCTAGACGGACACCAGACACAGTACCAGGACAGTGTCTAGATGGACACCAGACACAGCACCAGGACAATGTCTAGATGGACACCAGACACAGCTCCAGGACAGTGTCTAGATGGACACCAGACACAGCACCAGGACAGTGTCTAGACGGACACCAGACACTGTACCAGGACAGTGTCTAGATTGACACCAGACACAGCTCCAGGACAGTGTCTAGATGGACACCAGACACAGCACCAGGACAATGTCTAGATGGACACCAGACACGGCACCAGGACAATGTCTAGATGGACATCAGACACAGCACCAGGACAGTGTCTAGATGGACACCAGACACAGCACCAGGACAGTGTCTAGATGGACACCAGACACAGCACCAGGACAGTGTCTAGATGGACACAAGACACAGCACCAGGACAGTGTCTAGACGGACACCAGACACAGCTGCAGGTTATTTTCCATGATGGTCATCACATGTGGGTCACCAAGGGAACTGTCCATGACACATGTGACCATTATCAGCTTTCTACATCTTGCACCAAACACAGATCAAGATGGTGACGAGGTCTGTGTGTTAACGAATACGTCAAGTGTAATGCAAATACTTTTAGCAAAGATGTGTGTTGAACATGCGAAACGGATGAGTGTGAGGGGAAGGCTGATGTAAAATAGAAAGTGTTGACTTGAGGAAACTAAAAGCTGCTTGTATCTACCCCCAAAAAGAGAGAAACAAATACATTTGTAATATCTGCCTTGAAGTAGATATAAGAAATGTATACTCAGAAAATACCTTCAGACCACAAAAGCTCCATGGATAAGAAAACATCATCTTCTGTTGAACTCTGGATACTGTTGATGGATACATAGTGTGCAAATAGAGGTGACAGTGTCTTTATTATTCACAGACAAAATCAGATATGCAATACTAATATCTTGTATGTGTAGCTAAACAGTTTGCTTTACAAGTGAAAAACATAACATAATCTCTAAAATTTCTTATATACAGATAAGTTCTAGTGTGTCCAAAAATGACAGATGGTAGAGTTCATTCTGAATTACAAATGATAAAACAGGGATTCACACGCAGTCTTGTTGTATTGGTAAATATTAGACATCTCCTGCTGGGGTAGTTGTGCTGATTCGCCTCCAAGCCTTGTATAGTATTTCAGCGGATGAGATCTCGAAGAAGCTGATAATTTCACACAAAAACATACAAAACTCTTTCCTAACCAATAGAAAACTGGAGAAGTTAGTGTGACGATATGTCTGAGGTGATACGAGTTTGTCGAGATAACAGGCCATGCTGCATCATCGTCTTCACGCTCCATGGAAGGTTGTCTTTCCCAACAGGTCGACGCAACGAATAAATATACGAATGTAACGTGAGTGATATGGACATCCTGGGGCTACTTGACTACCTGGGAGAATTAGAGAAACCATGCAGTGTTACTACAGTCCAGCATCAGGTACTTGTGCCGAAATGGCCACATGCATTTTAACTGTACAGAGAGGCAAATAAGTCGGAAGTATACAAAAAGTCTACTTGCAAAATATACACTCTGGCCCCTTTCAACACTTTTTACAAGATCAAATGAAGCACCGTAAAAAACAGAAATAAATCCCATGTGACAAGCCTGCATGAGCAGCGTCCAATAGGGCCTGAAGGTTGTCACGGTCAGCGTCTATGCACAGGTGACTTGCATGAATGTCCACAGCTGGCTACAGGTCAGCCAGCATCCCACGACGGTGGGTCTGTCCACTGTATCTGTTTTGTCAGTATGTTTTGAAGAGTTTGTAATATAAAACAGACTGGTGCTATGTGCCCAGCCTCAATCAAGACTTGTGGTTGGAAGTGAGCCATGTGAGGCCCTCGTACAGTCCGTCACCCGTTGTCGCACACGCTGGCTGAACATACCAGTTGCGGTCACGTATTCGTGTTAATCCTAGCTTCTCTTGAATTTCATGTGGCTTCATAGCTGCAACAACAAACACATGTTAGTTGACTGGCTATTGGTTTGCTACAGATACTGTTGTGATCCCATTCAGTGCCTTGTTTGTTTTGTACAATCTACTGGAGTATGAGTTAAGTCACTGCAGTTTCTTCCATGATGCTCCAGTCTACACTGACAGGGAAGTAAGGAAGCACTGTACACTGACATGGCTTTGACTGCTAGGTATGGTACATTGAGTATGGTCCCACTTTATATATTGACATATTTATGAAACGGGTTCCACAAAGGGTTCCGCAAAACTTTACCGATAGGCATCATACTTGACAAAATGTACTGCAACATAACTGCTCCATCAACATATTGTCATATCCCGGAACTTAACATTCTGGCACTGTATCTCTCTAACACTCATCAGTCTGCCAAAAGTATCTCTGTACATAACTCTTAGCAAAAAAGATCTCCCTATATATACATCTCTCTCGGCCACATGGATCTCCTCATATATCTCTTTGCCAAAAGGATCTCACAATATATCTCAAACTAAAGGATCTTTATATATCTCAAGCTGAAGGGGTTCCCTATATATCGAGGCCAAAAGGATCTCTTTATATTTCAACCTAACGGATCTTGTTATATATCTTAGCCCAAACAATCTCTCTATATAGCTCAGCCCAAAGGATCTCTACACGTAGCATTCTCTCTAAAGGATCTCCTTAAACACCACTGCCTTAAATCTTACCATCTGGGAGATCCTGTTTGTTAGCAAATATCAGAATAATGACGTCTCTCATCTCGCGATCGTTGATGATGCGATGCAGCTCCTGTCTGGCCTCGTCAATACGGTCCCTGTCAGCGCAGTCCACCACGAAAATGAGACCTTGTGTTCCTGTGAAGTAGTGCCGCCATAGAGGTCGTATCTTGTCCTGCCCCCCAACATCCTGCAACACAACGCAACACACACTCTGAGACACCGCCGCGAGGGAAACACCATGACCATGAGGCTACCCCACCTCAACATCGGCTACACCATATCCTGTATGACAAGATTAATCTACTACTACACTGGCAAAGTTGTGTTGAACTCACCTGTAGTCTCTAAGTCAAGTAATATCATGAAAGACATCATTCCCATTCTAGTTGCTATTTCCGCTATGCAAAGTGTACAGTATTTGTATGTTTTTTTATTTAACGCCGCACTCAGCAATATTCCAGCTATATGACGGTGGTCTGTAAAATATTCAAGTCGGGACCAGACAATCCAGTGATTGACATCATGAGCATCGATCTAAGCAATTGGGACAAATGACATGTATCAACCAAGTCAGCGAGCCTGACCATCCGATCCCGTTAGTCGCCTTTTACGACAAGCATAGTCGCCTTTTACGGCAAGTATGGGTTGCTGAAGACCTATTCTACCCCGGAATCTTCACCGGTCCAAAGTGTACAGTAAGGTTGTTTTATTGTTGATAGTCGTTTTGGAGATAGAACCTTAATTACTGCGAACAAAGGCAACTCACATTTTTCGCATTTAATTCACACTTGCATTAATTTCAAGATTTACAGTATTGCTTCTGTTCACCCGATCCCGAGACAACAGAGGAAGAGTAAGGAAACAGTGGCATGAGAGCGTGGGGTTAATTCCGCTTCTATTTGTCTAACTAGAATCACACACATTGATGTGTGTTGTCAGCCAAACGTTGTGCAGGTTGTTGTTGACCAGAGTGAGTGAGTGAGTGAATATGACGAGACACCCCGACCGCCCCCAATAGGCCAGAAGGATGAGGTGCTGATGGACCAAGGATCAGCCGCAGGGATCGGAATCCAGCGAATCCTGTGATGGCTCAGGGGTGGGGCAATTCACTGACGCATCAACCAGTTTGGATAAGACTATCGGACGACATGTCACATGACATACCTGCCTGTTACCCAAATTGTGGCTGGTTGTGTGCACTCAGTCCAACACAGCATTACCATGACTACGGCTATGTCATTCTATCTGCATCATCATGTCTATCGTATCATGATCTCGCTATTGTGATGCGTATCAGATTGTGATCTCACTATAGTGATACATACATATCATATTGTGAACTCACTATTGAGATACATATCATATTGTGACCTCGCTATTGTGATGCATATCATATTGTGACCTCACTATCATGATACATACATATCATATTGTGAACTCACTATTGAGATACATCATATCGTGACCTCGCTATTGTCATACATACATATCATATCGTGATCTCACTTTCATGATATGTACATATCATATCGTGACTTCACTATCGTGATATATACATATCATATTGTGACCTCACTATCGTGATACATACATATCATATCGTGACCTCACTATCGTGATACGTACATATCATATCGTGACTTCACTATCGTGATATATACATATCATATTGTGACCTCACTATCGTGATACATACATATCATATCGTGACTTCACTATCGTGATATATACATATCATATTGTGACCTCACTATCGTGATACGTACACATCATATCATGACTTAACTATCGTGATACATACATATCATATCGTGACCTCACTATCATGATACATACATATTATAGTGTCACCTCGCTATTGTGATACTCTTGGCATCATCCCCTCACCAAGGTGATACGTACTGTATCGTGTACCTACCCAGACACTGAACTTGACATTCTTGTAGTTGACTTGCTCCACGTTGAAGCCGACTGTGGGGATGGTGGTGACTGACTGGCCTAACTTCAACTTGTATAGCACAGCTGGGGACACGGTCAAGGACTTCAGAACATCAAGTCTTGGAGACGACAATATATTATATGGAATACAGAACTACTGCAACATGCGTAATTCCCTCCTGGACTACACAGTGTACCACACACCCAGTCTATCACAACAGATACCCCCGACCCATTCATTACCACAGCTTTGTTGTGGAAGGGATTTCACCCAATGGGGTAACCCTACAGTGATCACATGGTGATGGGTGTGTCACGCCTACAATGTGTCATCATCCTTATACAACACCAGGTCAGTGAACAAAATGGGGTTCCCTTATGGTTTTGTTTTGTTTGTGTGTTTGTTGTTTAACGCAACACTCAGCAATATTCCAGCTATATGTTGGCGGTCTGTAAATAATCGAGTCTGGACCAGACAATCCAGTGACAGACATCGATCAATGCAATTGGGATATGATAACATGCATAAACCAAGTCAGTGACCCTGACCACCAGATCCTGTTAGTCGCCTCCTACGACAAGCATAGTCGCCTGCATGGGTTGCTGAAGACCTTTTCTACTATTCTCACAGGTCGGTTACCACATGGTGATGCGGGTCTCGCTCCTCCAATGTGTAGTCATCCTGATACAACACAATCTTGACAACACACGTATCATCAGTATCGGAATAAATATATGTTATAAGCAAACGATTTATATAACAATTTAAAAACCAAGTTTTTCCAGTTCTTAAAATAAGGTCCTGTTGTCACGGTTACTGTCCTTGCATGAGAACCAAGAAGGGGGTGGGGGGCAAAGCTTGATACTGTGTCTGATCATGACATAACTGATGAAAAAACTTCTGGATATGAGATCCAACCAGATTGACAACTAACTGTGATGATTAAACCTGAACATTGCCGAAGGATAAAATAATTTGCGTCATTCCGCAGACGGAAAGTAAAACATGAATCATCAACACTACACTGAGAGAATCAGTTATTTTCACACACAAAGTTACTTCCTGAATCCTACAAAACGAGGAAGTAGATTCACACAGACTTGTGCTACCCATACAGTGAGGTTCACTCACAAAACAACCATGTGACCCAGATTAGATGGAAGGAGCCCTGCAGCACACTGGAAGGAAGGGGGAGGGTGGGGAGGGGAGAGTGGGGTATGGGGGGGGGGGGGGGGGGGGGGGGGGGGGGGGAGAAGAGAAAGGAGGGGGAGGAGGGGGAGGAGGAGGAGGAAAGTGTCCTGATGCAACAACCCTTGGTTTCTGTGGATGTCTCGGACAGTTGTTAGGGAAGTAGCATGGGTTCCATATGTAAGAAGACGAAATGCTTTAGCATATGCTCAATCAAAGGGAGATAATCCATCATAAAAACACTTGGAGGAGATAAGTGTGAAATCTATGGATGCAGTGTTTGAATATAATATTGACTGAATATAATCTTCAACCTCCTTTCTCTACACATGTTAACACGCTTCATTATGTCCATGGTGTTTTGTCTGTGAGTTACGTGAAACATTTAACAGAAGGGCTATGACAGGACCTCTTGACTTCAAGCCTTATTTCAAACACTGCATCAACCATTCATGATGTTTTCATTTAACTGAGTATTAAATAAACGCCATCGGTTGGAATGTGTGTACAGATACTAATCTTGTGGCAGGACTGCAGCTTAGGCAAATAATCTGAAAACACAACTCAGCAATTCTGACCTTGAGTCATATCAACACGTTGCTGTTTTTCGGCATGGTCTTCACTGCACAGAAACAAGAAATGTATTGTACACACAGACAAGTCCTCCCAATACCTCTTTCTAAAGTACTTAATATCAACCTCAAAAACATGCACTACAAAGACAGGTGGGAGGTGACACTTCTTGAAGCGACATAACCAGACAGGCTGTCGTAGTCTGGTTGAGGTGTCTCTGTGACCTGCGTGCATGAGACATGTATCACTATCAGGCATGTACCTAGTGTCACTTGGCTCCCATCAATGTCATTAATCTTCCGTCAAGCACATCAGCAGTAACAGTTCTTACATTGCCTGTAGCTACTGTGTTGAGTATGAGGAACTAATAGAATAGACGATATCTATAAAATATAAACACATGATAAAGAATGTAATGACAAACTCCCATGTGAAATACAACACACACCACTCCCAGCACAATGAAGCCCACCACAGGTGAGAGAGTGAGTGAGTGAGTGAGTGAGTGAGTGAGTGAGTGAGTGAGTGAGTGAGTGAGTGAGTGAGTGAGAGTGAGTGAGTGAGTGAGTGAGTGAGTGAGTGAGTGAGTGAGTGAGTGAGTGAGTGAGGTTTTATGGCGCTTTTAGCAATATTCCAGCAGCGGTGCACCGATGTATCGTTTCACCCCTAATACTTAGTGATGGCTATTGGCCTGACTTTTGTATTGTAAGTTATTGCAATAATGATTCCTGTATTGCGATACAAACACAAAATATTGCATGTGTTCTTTCTTCTGTAATTTATGAACTGGGACCAGATGGACCCATACATGAGTAATACCATGCAGCTCCAATATATGAACCGGGACCAGATGGACCCATACATGGGTAATACCATGCAGCTCCAATATATGAACCAGGACCAGATGGACCCATACATGGGTAATACCATAAAGCTCCAATATATGAACCAGGACCAAATGGACCCATACATGGGTAATACCATGCAGCTCCAATATATGAACCAGGACCAGATGGACCCATACATGGGTAATACCATGCAGCTCCAATATATGAACCAGGACCAGATGGACCCATACATGGGTAATACCATGCAGCTCCAATATATGAACCAGGACCAGATGGACCCATACATGGGTAATACCATGCAGCTCCAATATATGAACCAGGACCAGATGGACCCATACATGGGTAATACCATGCAGCTCCAATACATGAACCAGGACCAGATGGACCCATATATTGGTAATACCATGCAGCTCCAATATATGAACCAGGACCAGATGGACCCATACATGGGTAATACCATGCAGCTCCAATATATGAACCAGGACCAGATGGACCCATACATGGGTAATACCATGCAGCTCCAATATATGAACCAGGACCAGATGGACCCATACATGAGTAATACCATGCAGCTCCAATATATGAACCAGGACCAGATGGACCCATACATGGGTAATACCATGCAGCTCCAATATATGAACCGGGACCAGATGGACCCATACATGGGTAATACCATGCAGCTCCAATATATGAACCGGGACCAGATGGACCCATACATGGGTAATACCATGCAGCTACAATATATGAACCAGGACCAGATGGACCCATACATGGGTAATACCATGCAGCTCCAATATATGAACCAGGACCAGATGGACCCATACATGAGTAATACCATGCAGCTCCAATATATGAACCAGGACCAGATGGACCCATACATGGGTAATACCATGCAGCTCCAATATATGAACCAGGACCAGATGGACCCATACATGAGTAATACCATGCAGCTCCAATATATGAACCAGGACCAGATGGACCCATACATGGGTAATACCATGCAGCTCCAATATATGAACCGGGACCAGATGGACCCATACATGGGTAATACCATGCAGCTCCAATATATGAACCGGGACCAGATGGACCCATACATGGGTAATACCATGCAGCTCCAATATATGAACCAGGACCAGATGGACCCATACATGGGTAATACCATGCAGCTCCAATACATGAACCAGGACCAGATGGACCCATACATGGGTAATACCATGCAGCTCCAATATATGAACCGGGACCAGATGGACCCATACATGGGTAATACCATGCAGCTCCAATATATGAACCGGGACCAGATGGACCCATACATGGGTAATACCATGCTGCTCCAATATATGAACGATCTGATGATTAGCACAGCACCATAGTCGGAATGTTCTCATCTGTATAGTGAGTGAGTTGGGTTTAACGCCGCTTTTAAAATTATTCCAGTTATATCGCGGCGTGTCAGCTTAATGTGGGAGGAAAGTCCGAAGTGATGCAGGTCTCAGACGTTTACCACTTCGGTGAAACCCACGAGCACGAGTCATGGTGCTGACAAACCTAGAAACATAATCGGGGCGAACCGGGATTCGAACCCACAATCATAGGATTCTGGCGTGCCCAGGGGACGCAACTCTGCACAGCGAAACGCGGCGCCTTAGACGACTGGGCCACCCGTGCCCCCTCTCATCTGTATAACTGTTCCAAACTTTACAAAACCCTGGCAGAAACATCTGTAGACACATTTGTCCAAGTGAACTGGCAGTCATGGCAGAAGATGCAAGGTAACAATAACCAAAGAGAAATAGGACCTGATATTCTTTCAGACCAGTTTGGCCCAACTTGCTCATCATGCTCATTTATGGAACTACAATACAGATGACAACATGACATCATTTGTTTCTAGATCTGAATAACAGTTAAGATTGTTTACATGAAAAAGTCCTTGGGTTTTTACCTTGTTGCACAGACAATGATGATAACACGACACAACTTTCACCATAACTCTTAACAACTTGCTGCAGAACACACATTAGCTCTAATTAGGTTGGGAATAAATAAATAATAAAATGTTGATCCAAGTCTCTAAATAACTCTAAGTTATAAACCAAGTAAGCCCAAGTAGAGCTGGTAATGGCTTTGTATCTCATCAAACACGTACACGTTCTCGCAGCACAATGAGGAGAAGACAGACAGGGTCAGTACAGGATGACGAGATGCTTGAACATTGGAGCTGTGGGGTCAATGGTGGCCTTCCTCTCATATATCATGCATACATCTAGAATACTTACACAAATGTCTAATTACATAGTATACAAACTTGCCTCTTTTCGACTTGTTTTGTTTCATTAAATTTGTTGTTTCACGCCACACTCAGCAATATTTCAGCAACATGATGGCAGTCTGTAAATAATTGTGGACCAGACAATCCAGTGATTGACACAATGAGCATCGACCTAAGCACAACGACATGCATCAACCATGTTTTAACTACATGACAAACTGTCTGGTTTCAGGGTAACTTGCATAACATGCAGGAACACTTCTTTCACACTGACATCAACTGTCATTCATTTTCTGACAAATATATGCCCACAGATGGTTTGATTTTGGGTGTCTGATATTTTATCAATGTGTTAGTCTTGTTTAAATAGAGGATTCCTGCATCACTGGCGTTTACTGCATAAACATGACAAAGGGGCTTCACAAACACCCCCCCCCAGGAGCACACTTCCTCACAACGGGTCTATGTACGTGGTGCTGTGCGTGAAGGATACTAGTTTTTCCTGCTGCATCAAGCCCCAACATGAGTATTCTCATCTCCTTGTTGCCGAACACCTTGGACAATAACTTCCCCATCCCGGCTGGTCAGTTGGCCAATCCCAGCTTTCACCTCCAACCTGCAACACCAACAAAAAAAGGTCACGGTCAACATACTACTTCAACAAAACAAGGTCACGGTCAACATACTACTTCAACAAAACAAGGTTACGGTCAACATACTACTTCAACAAAACAAGGTCACGGTCAACATACTCCTTCAACAAAACAAGGTCACGGTCAACATACTACTTCAACAAAACAAGGTCAAGGTCAACATACTACTTCAACAAAACAAGGTCACGGTCAACATACTACTTCAACAAAATAAGGTCAAGACATCACCAACTGCAATGTGAAGAGAACAATACCAACAAAGCAAGGATCAAGGTCAACCTATACCCACTTGCAATACCAACAAAACAAGGTCAAGGTCAACATTTTCATTATCATGATTATGTCTAGGGTATGTATGAAACTCGGTCAGTGCATTCTTCTGACTATATAAGGGAGCTTAGGATAAATCGCAAAGAACAATGAAGAACAAAGTTCTATCATGACGTCATTCGAACATGTGGTCACAACTTGATGACGTTGGACAGCGTTACTTTTGAGAGGGAAGTGTCTTAGCGAGTTGGTCCCCAGAGATGTAGTTGGACAGCACAGATGAACGCAATGGCCAAACAGTCGCACCCAAAAGTGGGAGAGATATGACAATTGGTATGGGGAGAAAAGGTACACATCATCAACGTGAAACTTGTGAGAATATGCGAAAGACCAAATTTAACTCGCGCCCCTCATAGTTTATTCTCCTTGCAATGTTTTATTGTATGATAAACAACTCCCACTTGTCATTTATTTCTTGGTTACCAGGGTGTGTTACAAACCTATTGTCTGTGTTAATGTACTTGAGACTCCACGGTCCCGACAGTAAGCTAACAATGCCAAGATCTAATTTTCATGCTTGTTTGCCAGACAGAAGGTGAACATGGTGAACTAGCTTTCTGTATATTCACTTTGACAAATGATGAAAGTTATCTCAGCTGGGGGTCCAGGCCAGACTGAAATCATCAACAGATGGACACAGCTGGGTTTCAAAGCAGCAGAACCCTACATATCTGCAGGGGCTCCTGTAAATGACCAATCTCTTGAGTATTGCAGGGACAGCTGGGCTAAAATTTACTAGACACGGGCTTCAGGTCAGTGGTCTTTAACACAAACTGAACTAACAAAGTATTGCATCAAAGATTGTGCAAACAAGACACCTCCAAGAATATTTTGTCCTTAACATATGATTTTTTTAAATTAGTATGTTGTGTAAAAGTGTATAAAGTTTGGTTTAACACAGCTTTGAACAGTATTTCACTGGAACACTAGGTGTCAGCTTGATGTGGGAGAAAAGCCTGAAGCAATCCATATCAATATTGTGAAACCAACAAGCTTCGGCATGGTGCTGACAAACCTTAAAATATAATCAGGGCAAATCTAGGATTCAAACCCACGCATATACCTAAAGATACAAAAGTCTTGCAATGTTGACAATATTTGAAATCTGTTGAAATCAATAATGGAAGACAACAGGGCCCCTCTCAACAAAGTAGCCTTTCTACAATGACTGTTCTACTCTACCTTAAAATATGGGAGTTACGATCGTGTCCGCGTCTTGATCTGATCAGTGACAGTGATGGTATGTATCTGATGGTTACGATAATGATGTTATTGTCAGAATGACCTGACATAGTTGTCTGTTTGTTATCATCAAGATAACACCAGAAACAGCTACTATTAACACATATGCCCAGGCCTGTAAACATTGTTGAGACTGACGCATGTGCCTTGATAAAGTACAAAGCAACACGTTCTCTGGGTTTCTGTTGACAGTTATTTCTATTCATCATATAATGGGTAGGTTTCTCGGCAGGATAAAGCCAACGGATAATAACGATAACCGTTGGGGTCAAATGTGGATAGAGATGCAAATATCAAAGGTCAAGTAGGGACTACTTTCAGTGTTTATAAACAAACATGGCGTCGCCCTTGTAATTCGGCAATTGAGTCAGAATACATTACAGAGATAATTGCTATCATTATCAAAAGAACAGTCTAATATATACTTAAAATCAGTGTCTAACTGTGACGTCGCTAAGGCATTTTATAAGTTTTAGCAACTTTGGAGATAGACTAGTCTCATAGACTAGGGTTAGAGTAGCTTCCCTTTGACAAAGGGCAGTTACTCTAGTGGACAGTTCGATGGATTGCCGCGAAATGCAAGTAAAAACAATTTTTGTTTTGCATATATGTTGCTTCGCCACTGTATAAGAAACAGATTTCAGTTGGAACTATATTGGCTACTGTCACTGTCCGACTGACACATCACTTACCCTGTGACGTAATAAATATTAATGCGTGCATTCCAGGAAAACTTGCAATGTTTAGGTAATGTTTGTGAGAGAGGGAAAGCGATTTCCAAGCACAGAATTAAGAGAATGACAGTAAATGATAAAGAGGTTATCACGCTTGTGTTTGGGTTTAGCGAGCCTTGTGGTTTGGTGTGGCATGCACTATTCCGGACTAAAGCTGATTTTATAGTGCTATCCGACTGAGATAATAAGCTGAGGTTTACCATTAATGTCCCAATCTGACACAGTACACAGATTCCGAAACCAACCAATCCTTGTTTTAGCCCCTGAATGTAAAGTGGCAGGCAGGGCAACAACAAATACCACCCTTTAACGTCTTCTGGCAGGCACTGTCAGGGATCGACCCCCCAATGAATAAATGCAGTCAAGGTTGATTCTAGGTTAGAATTGGTCCTATGCTGGCTGCAGTAGGGACTTTATGGACCAGGTGGTACAGATCGGCGACTTGGTTGTGTAAATGCACCCCAACAGTTTGGATCGTTGCTCATAATATCAATCACTGGCTTGTCTGGTCCAGACTCGATTATTTACAGGCTGGTCTAATAGCTGGAATATTGTGTGTGGCATTAATCAACATGCCAAGTAATCCCCTGGATTTGTACTGATATCCTTGTTACTATATTATGGAGCTACATGAAGCCAGAATACATTAACCATTACAAAGAGTGAGTGAGTATGGTTTTAAGCCGCTTTTACGAATATTCCAGCAATATCACGGCAGGAGACACCTCAAATTGGCTTCACACATCACACTCTTGTCGGGAATTGAACCCAGGTCTTCAGCATGACGAGGGGGGCACGGGTGGCCCAGTCGTCTAAGGCGCCGCGATTCGCTGTGCAGAGTTGCACCCCTTGGGCACGCCAGAAACCTATGATCATGGGTTCGAATCCTGGTTCGCCCTGAATATATTTATAGGTTTGTCAGCACCATACCCATGCTTGTGGGTTTCACCGAAGTGGTAAACGTCTGAGCGCTGCATCACTTTGGGCATTCCTAAGCTGACACACCGTGATATTACTGGAATACTGTTAAAAAAGCGGTGATATACCCAACTCACTCAAAAACCTGAAAACTTCATATTTTCAACCAACCCATCAACAACCTTGATTAAAAAAATCACTGTTCCTCATTAACTTCAAATGATAGTGATCTAGGGGGCCAGAATATATGCTGACCTTCGAACCCTGAGTTTGAAAGATACTCTGAATATCAGGTGACAAAAACTTGGACATTAGACCAGTGGTAGCTTGACCCCACTCTGGCAATCAAACACTTCACAGAGACTGCTTGAGTAGGACTCTTATCAATTCTATAGAGCTGAGTGTTAATGAAAACAGGCCGCCCTAACATAATGTCAGATAAGGGCAGAAAGTTATTTTCTCAAAATCCTTATCATAAAAAATATCGGAAGTTTAACATGTTCCAACCTTGCTCTTAACGTCATGCTAATCATACACACAGCATTGTTCTTGCTGCAGGACCACCTACTCAATTCTGGCATTACACGTTCAGATAAATGGTAGGGAATTTCCTATTCCTGTAGGGAGCTGCATGATCACATACCATGTTATGATATTGTGTGCGGCAGTGGTTCAAGTGTCCACCGAGGAATGTGGCTGTGCCGTAACTGCAGATATCCTGACAACTGCTGCCGCCTCGTCATCAGCTCCGCCTAGGTCAGACTTACTCATACTGGGCTACACACTGCTTATGTTAGTAGACTCAGTACCCTGCTGTAGACACAGAGACATCCTACATGCAGGCCACGACACTTGTCTTATACATCTGTCAGTCACTGTGGGGCCAGGGGATTGTCCAGCCAGGAGGTGGCTCCCCCTTATTAGTCCTGCCTTTGTGCCCTCCTGCATGTCATAAACATGCAAGGTGCTCGTCCATTCTTTTCATGACACGTACAGTCCATGTAATAGACCAGCAACAAATAGCCTATGAAAAGTCTTCCAACATAATAAATCTCCCTAAGTAAGAAAATATATGCTGCTTCTAATTCTGATTTCATCATGTTCATATATAGCAGGGCTTGATTTAAGGAACTTGATTTATCTCGCACCAGGTGCATGTTGACATGAATAGCTAGTTGCACCAGACAAACAGGTTGCACCTGGTCCCATAAATTTATCCAAGATGAAACAGAATTAATCTAAATCAGTACAATCCTTGATCTCTGATGATTGCACAAATAAGTGATGCAGTAGGGTAAATACAAACAAATTCGAAATTGTTATTACATGCACATGCATGGTGTATGTAGACATAAATAGTAAGTTGCATTTTCACTGGTGCATGTTTCATACAGCTTAATCGAGCCCTGTAGCCAACTGGAATTGCCTATATTTATCATCAAGACAGGTTTTCATTATTCCACTGACATCGTAGAGGGCAAGTCATGTCACTAACTGATGGGTTTACTGGCTCTTGTGACTTTCTGGAATTTATATCTAATATATAGACTATTAACTTACTACTACTAGACTCAAAGAAAATTGACGAGACCTGGCTTCAGGCTACTGTCTTAGCATGGTCAGGTTACACAGATACACCAGGGTAACTGTTCCACATCCTGCACATAAAGTCACTGACCAACTTCTGTGAAACCCAAGTCACACTGTAACAGGTCAAGTCCCCTGTGATAGACTGGATA